TTGTCAAAGTGCAGGACCAACTTGTTCTTTCGAAAGTAGCCCTTGCGAGTCTTCGTGATCTTCGCCTTGCCCTGTTTGGCTGCCGCCTTAAGCAGCTCATCATAGCGACGGCTCCAATTGTAGACCGTGTTGTACGGATGCTTCGTGCCAGTGGCTCTGCCCTCATTGTCCACAGGTGGCTGACCGGACTCCCGGCAAGCTTTCCAGGTGTCGACTGCATCCACCATTCCTGGATGTACTACGTATTCGTGTTTACACAGAGGAACACGGCGCAACACAGGAACCAAGCGAAAGGGCAAGGTAAGGTGAGTTTAAGGGTGTTGCGAATCAGCCAAGGCTCTGCGAGGCGAGACTCGGGGCCTCTTGGTGGCGCCTTTGGTGAGCTTCGGATGGCCAGCTTTGGTCAGTTTGCCCTGCACCGGAGGTTCTATGACTTCCACGCTGTCACTGTCGGATCTGTCATGTTCAAGCGCCGGCGAAGGATCCTGTCCAAGATCCCCGACGTCATCATAACCATGGTCCTCACTCGTGTCACCGCCATGCAATAACTGCAGGGCAGCGCCAGGGCGGTCAAACTGAGGAGCTCGCAAGGCACCTGGATGTCTGCTGCGCAGATGGCTCTGGAGAGCTTGGCTGGTTTTAAAACCGTCGTCGCACAAATGGCAGATGTAAGGCTTAACATCGGCCACAAGCTTTCCATCCAACGTGCGCTGCTTCATTGGCGGGAAGCGCTGCCAGTGAGGGCTCAGGGTTTAGGCTGTTTAAGGTTTGGGGTTTATAGGGTCCGTGGTTTCAATTCTTTCCACTGCACTGCTCATACCCTCGAGGTTTCAACTCTCCACAGATCATGCCCTCAACAAGCCACGCTGCGGGCACTGCAGATTGCCTACAGCTCCAGAGCGGAGAAGAATCTTTCCATAAAGACAACTGCAGCAGCAGCAGCAGCAGCAGCAGCAGCAGCGCAGCAGCAGCAGCAGCAGCAGCAGCAGCAGCAGCAGCAGCAGTTGTTGGCTTGGAAGCACTAAAGGGCAAAGATGAGGACCACGCAGCTCGGGACCGTCGAAGTTACGCAAGTCGGGATGGTCAAAGATCTGGACGTTTCAGACTTACCCAAGCTGGAACCCGCCTTTGCAGTGATCATCTCGGGCTGTCGACCAAGGCGTGCGTCCCGAGGTTAACGTCCTGCAGTCTGCAAGTTCCAAGCTTTCGGCTGCGGGTTGGGGGTGGGCGGCCCAAAAGCCCTATCTCGCCAAGATAGGGCGTTTGGTGGTTCAGCCGGGGGTTTCGGGGGGCCGGAGTGATTGGGGGGCCTCAGTACCCCCAAGCCCTCAGACCTGAAAGCCCAACCCCAAAACCACAAACTCTAACAAACCTTATCCTAAGGGTACTGGTATCTCCCTACAAGAGTCCTTGGGCCTCGTTGCGCTCAGTGTTACGGTTGATGATATAAATCCTGCATCACCCATAATAAGGAATATACCATAATTCCCATAGTATAGGGTCCTTAAGGTAATGCAGGATTTATATCATAAATCCTGCATCACCCATAATAAGGAATATACCATAATTCCCATAGTATAGGGTCCTTAAGGTAATGCAGGATTTATATCATCAACAGTAGGACCATTTGGGTAAATCCTAACCCTTAAACCCTAAGTCGAAATCCCCACGGACCTGCTCCTTCGGCACCGAAACCCTTCCGCCCACGAGGGCTTCAAGGTCCATTAGGGTTTCAGGGTTTCAGGGCTTGGGGTTTAGGGCTTCAGGGCTTTCGGGTTTAGGGTTCAAGGTTCAGGGTTCAGGGTTTAGGGTTTTCGGGTTGAGGGCTCAGGGTTCAAGGTTAGGGTTTACCTGGAGCCTTCAACCCCCTTCCCCAAAAATAGACCAGGACCACCAAATACCATTGAATAAAGACCTCATGGTCCTTGATCGTGGATATTTAGAGACTCTTGAAGGGTGGTTGCGGGGCTTAGGGAGCGTTGTGGTTTGAGAGTTTAAGTTTTGGGAGGGTTTTAGGCTTCAAGTGTTCTTAGGGTTTAGGCTGCCTCAGGTTGTGTGGAGATTGAAGTTTGTGGGGCGGAAAATGAAGTACCTTGGTATAAAGCCTTGAGCTGCTACCCGAACTCTCAACCTGGACACTGAAACCAGACTGGGGAATCAAGTGGCACTCATTTCAGATCCAGTGCTGGGCAAGCCACTCCAGCATCACAGCATCACTTGGCAAGATTGTCACGCGTTTCGCGTGCCTTGCCAGCTTATTCATGGCGGCCATGCGCTCCGTGAGGCGTGCCTCACATGCCTGCTGGAGCAGGAGCATCGCGCTCGATGTGAGCTTGTAATCAATGGATCGGCCTTCCTTCTGCACCACTTCGCGAAGGCTGTCTTTCACAAGTCGGGCAAAGCATACCTTGGGGATGAGCTCAGAAGGCGAGTTTTCGCTTTGAAGTCTTCGGATCTCTGCCTCGATATTGCTCGCCCGGGGCCCATCAATAACGTGTCCCTCCGAATCAAGCGTCCTCTTGCGGGTTCTGTTGGCAAATGTCTCCTCGTACTTGTCGCGGCTTGAACGTGACGGCTCGCGTATGCGCTTGGTACCCCTCACCTGGCCAGCATCACCAGGCTCACGCAGCTCTTTTGGGTCAACTGTTTGCCCCTGCTTCTCGTGGCTGGAACATGAAGGCTTCGTGCGCCTCGCCCGTGCAGCACCGCCAGACTGACGCATCTCCTGCTGCTCATGCTTCTTCAGCATGACCTGCAATTCTAAGGCTTTGGGCATGCGTATATGTATATATAGATGGATAGATAGATAGATAGATAAATAGCTGCACATACATACATATATATATATATTATAAAGATAGATAGATAGATAGATAGCTGGGTTTCAGGGTTGTAGATTTAGAGTTTAGGGTTTAGGGTTCACAGTAGAAGCCAGAAAGTTGGAACATCACTATCCCCAGGCCCTTAAGGTAAAGTAAAGGGAATCCTCGCACTAATCATCCTAAATGCATCTTCCAACTTTCTGGCTTCTACTGTATGGGGTTCGGAGTTTCAGTGCTAGCCGGCCTCTTCTTTCTTTTGCTGTTCCAAGTCGACACCCAGCAGCTGATCTAAAGCCTGCACCAGGCTTTCCAAAAAAATGCATGGAATCCGTATTAAAGAAAAAGGATATCGATATTCCCTACGTAGTGCTCTTCTTTCTCAATTTATTTGTAGTTTATAAAGAAACTAGGACATACATATTATGAAAGATAGCGGGGAATGCCTGACTCGGGATAGTCGGGAGCAAAGTATACGTAAGAATGCTGCATACATACACAAATAGTAAACCAGAAAGAAAAGCTCACAAAGATAAAAAGGCACCCCTAGTGACGAAGTCTTTCGGTATTTCGCACAAAAGCTTAAAATGATCAACCAGAAACCTTGCAGCCCACACCCTAAACTTACCTAAATTCTATTCTTCACCCGGGCTTTCTCTTGACTGGTGGCCTCATCCTCCTGCTTGATGACAACATCTGCCGCGGACTGACTCATACTTTGGACTTCTCGCATTACTGGGTCCTCATCAACAGCAGACATGAACGAAAAGGTCTGGCGAAGCTTGTCTTGAACAACCCACCCAGTCTGATTGAAATCGCCGACTAGGACCCGACGCCACAACGTCCCATTCACCACCTGCTCTTGCTCTGGAATGCAGCACCGGACCGTGCCGAATCGCGGCAGTGGCCCCAGCATCACAGAGTCTTCAGAAGGTTGCGACATGATTCGAACGGCACCTTCGCAAGCTTGCAACTGCGGCCAGAAAAGATTCTCCCATTCAAATTCGGTCATGCTCTCGCCATGATTTTTGGTGTAATTCCAGACCAGTTCCGCCAGTTGGGTTATTTCGTCGATCTTGTGGAAAGGCTTCTCATGCAAGCAAACAGCTTTGAACCTTTGGAAGCTCAGCTTGCCTCCAGCATCATCAGCAGTGAAGGTGCGAAACAACGCAACTGCATTCCCCAGAATTTCAGCCAATTTCAAAATGCATCTGTCTTCCATGGTCAGGACCACGATGACGGCAATGTTTGGTGCAATGCAGTGCAAGTCGTCGGTGCACGTAGTATCACCGATCTCGTTGTCATCATTTGCAAAAGACAGCTCACTGCGCTCTAGGTGCATAGCATTTGCATAGGCCGCCAAAGTAGTAAACAAACATCCGGCAGCTGTGCATTCCCACGCAGTGTGCATGCGGGATATAAAATGCAAACGACGACGGCACGGAGCAGTTAGGTCCATCATTTCATTGCCAGTTTCCATGGCTTGAACTTCTACAACTGTTTGAATTAAAGTATCTATAACAATGTAACTTTTACCTAACTTTGATCTCTTATGTGCTTGAGTTGATGCTCAACAGCCAGTCCCGCTGAACTTCGAAGTCTACACCATGAGCAAGCAGAATTGGGCGTTGACGGATAAAAGTCATATTAAGGGAATGGCCGGTGTGTGAAACCCTTCATCCCTCAAAGCCTACCCCTCTCCCCTCCTCTTTCCAGAAAGCCCATCTTAGCCCAGCCTGCCCCCCGCTCCCCTCCTCCCTCTACCGAGATAGGGTGTCAGCCAGCCAGCCAGCCCGAGCCACAAACCATCTCGACGAGATAGGGCTTTCCCGCCCCGCGCCCACATCCCACCCCGACCCCCCCACCCCCCCACCCCCACCCCCACCCCCACCCAGCCCCACTCCGACCCCCCCACCCCCACCCAGCCCACCACCCCACCCAGCCCAACCAAACCTATCTCGACGAGATAGGGCTTTTTCGCCCTCCCACCCCCACCCCCAACCCCACCCCCCCACCCCCCCACCCCCCCCCCACCCCCACCCCCCACCCCCACCCACCCCCACCCCCACTCTCACCTCTATTCCCATGTAGAGAGGATTTAAATTTTCGGGTTTATAGGGTTTGGGGTCTAGGCTGGCAAGGACGGAGGATCCATGAGAACTCATCGCCTTCCCCTTGCCCATGCAACTTTCAGTCCTTGCTCGCCACATCCACGATGAAGATCACGTCGAAGTCGATGCAGCCGATTTAAGAAATTAGCTTCAGAGTCTCACCGGCGGCCCAGATTTCTTAATCCCAACTACCTGAATAAGAAATATTGAGACCTTCGCTCAGGAAACCGATTTCTTATTAAAAACCTCCACCGTATTCGAAGGGTCTCGGTTATGAGAATTTAGTTGTGCGATACATCATATTCTATTCAGGGCACCGTAGAGCATAATCTTACTAGTTGTTCAGGGTTCCATATTAACGCATCAGCCCTATGCCTTACATCGGTACTTGCAAAAGTGGTTTGGGATGAAGCTGCCCAAAAGATGTCAAGCCTACAACCCTAAACTCGTCATAGAGCTCTTTATAGATCGTTTAGTAAAGGAGCCTCAGAACCCTAACTCTAAGCAATAGAACTCAAACCTCTCATAGAGCTCCTATAGACCGAGCCCGAAGCAATGGAACCCTGAACCCCCCGACCCCATGTATTATCACCTCAACCTCAAGACCCGTAAAGCCGAAACACCCTGAGAATCGAGGCCTTACTATGGCACCCTATAGTACCCTTTATTGGGGACCCTATCATGGAAATTAGAAGTACCTTTAAGGGGGACCTTATTATGGAACCCTAGAGTACCCTCTAAGGGCATGCAGAGTTCCGAGGCCACGCCATAAGCCCCAAACCTCAAGACCCCCCAAACTTTCCCTACACCCTAAACACCCTAAACACCCTAAACACCCTAAACCATGTTAGAAACCCTAGACCCTACACCTCAGATCCTAAAACCCTAAACCCTAAATCCTTAAACCCTTCAGTCCTTAAACCCTAAACCTTAAATCCTTAAACCCGTAAACGCCTAAAAACCCCTAAAACCGAGGCTACGCCTTTGCCCAGAGTGTGAAGCTGGCCGTCTTCGAGAAGATCGTTGACTCAGCCCTCCTCAAGGCTACTTTTTGGGGTTCCTCAAGGCCTAGGACCCAGAGTAGGCCCTTATTCCTTTTTAGGTTCCCTCATGGTTCCTTTTGGGTTTAGGGCCAAGTTTAGGGTTTAGGGTTTAGGGAAAGGCTACTTTTTTGGGGGTTCTTTTAAAGGGCTCTTAAAAAGGATCCTACTAGGGGTTCTTAAAAAGGCTACTTTTTGGGGTTCCTTTAAAGGGCTCTTAAAAAGGGTCCTACTAGGGGTTCTTAAAAAGGCTACTTTTGGGGTTCCTTTAAAGGGCTCTGAAAAAGGGCCCTACTAGGGGTTACTATATTTTTCAGGGTTTAGGGTTTCCTTGAGGGGAACCACCAGCTGAAAGCAAACCAACGTATAAAACTTTAGACCCGCTCCCCCCCAAAATGCTCCAAGCCTAAGTGCTGCTCTCAACCCTAAGCCCTGAGCCCTAAACCCTGCTATGAGGCGACGCCGATTCCAGAAGCTTTGGCCAAGCATGGGACTTTTGACCTGGATGAGAAGCTCGTGAAGATGCTACGCCCTTAGCCTGGGCTCTGATTCATGAAGGGATTTACCACATAGTATATACCTCTAGTCTCCATTGTAGTTCCTTTTTTTGGTTAACCAGTTTTATGGTTAGGATCCTATCATAGAGATTTTGGTTAACCAAAAAAAGAACTACAATGGAGACTATAGGTATTTGTTATTTACTATAGATCCTTGATATGGTAACTGAAACAAAACCCCTTAACATGAAGATGCTACGCCCTTAGCCTTGGGGCAACTTTTGTGGGATCTTTGCGAAAATGAGGGGGTAGCTTAGGGTTCCTTTAAAGGGTTACTATAAGGGTTCCCTCAAGGGGCTCTATAGGGGTTTAGAGTTTCCGAAAACTAGAGGTACCTTATCATAAGGATCCGACAAATTCCGGTACTAGTTTAGGGACCCCATTTTCGATGCCCTTAGCTTGGGCTCTCGTTAATGAAGGGATTTGCTAGTTACTTATATCTATTTACTATAGAGCCCTGATATGGCAACTGAAATAAAACCCCTTAGCATGAACCCAGTAGCTTGGCGATAGGTTTTTGGGATATTTGTGTTGGGTGGTTCGCTCTACCCTAAATAAAGACACTGTAAGCCCCACTACTGAAAGCTGTTCTAAAAGAAACCTCGAAGCCCAACAAAAACTACAAGACCCCGAAAACAACCGAAACACCATTGTGAGATCACGTGTAAGAACCTCAACACCCTTCCATTCGAGCAGGAGCTGTGTTCTTGTCCTTCCGTGTTTTGGGTTTGGTTGAGGTTTCACGTAGTTTCCCAAAGAAATCTCGAACATTTGTTGGAACAGCGTCTTTGTTAGGGCATTAGGACTTTTAGTAAGGAATACACCTCGAAATTTCAGGGGCCTCAATATTGTGATTGGAGGTGTATTCCTTCATGGAGAGGTCTTGGGTTCTGCAGTGTCGTAAAGTATTTGTCCTGCCCGTACAAAGGTACAGAAGTAACAAGCAAGACAGTTTCCGAAAGATAGGGGTACCTTATTTGGGGGTCCTTATAATAAGGATCCTACTATTTTGGGTGCTATATCAGGGTCCCCTGTTTTCGGAAACTTCCATACGATTTGCGAACGCCCCTGAGCCTGCAAGCGCCAGATCCGGTCTCAGGCAGATGGGCGCCATTTTTGTCACGAAGTGCTCCTTGACGCTTCAGAGTGACATGCTGGGCACTCCCGATGCTGGGCTCACTTTAGCGAGAGAGCTGGTGTGAAAAGGAGCGAAGCTGCTGTAGTCCTGGACCATTTAAAAGGCCACAAACCCCAAGCACCAAACTCCAACTCCCAAACTCTATGACCCTTGGACTACACTTCATGCAGGTTATAACGTAACTAGGATAATAACATACCTATAGCCCCACGTGGAACCTACCTACTGAGCCTTTTGATCCCCTAGCCGCGATCTTGTCTCCACCTGTAGTACCCTAAACCCTAAACACTACTGTAGACCCTCCTAAAGACTACTGAGTTGTACGAAATATTTCTAAGTCCTACAAGTTCCCGGATCAATGACTAGATATCTCAACGACTTGCAACTCTCAGCCCTACACACCACCCCGACGCCTAAAGCCCCTGAAACCGCAAATCACCCATAGAACCCTTGTATTGTCCCTTATCGCATGTTTCAGCAAACCCCCCTCTTGGTAGCACATTAGATGCACCCGAATATCGTTGCCTGAGTAACTACCAATAGTAATTTTGGGGGTTCCTTGTTATAGTTACAGTATCATATGCCCCAAAACCCTAGTCTAATTATGAAGGCCCCTGAATTATAGTACCCTACAATAGATCCCTTATAGACCCCTTTAAAGGAGCCCTTTAAAGGAACCCTAGTCTGCTTATGAAGAATGCCTCTATATTCTGCCCTCCAAGGAGATCTTGTGGGAGCATGACCGCTTCGATGCGCATCTTGGTTTGAACTTCGCCCCGGCCCCGCCGCTAGAGGAACCCCCTTAAAGGGTGCTAGAGGATAGAGCCCCCGAAAAAGGGTACTACAGGGTTCCCTTTAAAGGAACCTGTACGCCCGACTCACTCCTAACCCCTAAACCCCTAAACCCGTCAACGCCTAAACCCCTAAACCCTAAACATCTAAACCCCTAAACCCTAAACCCCTAAACCCTAGAAACCCTAAGCCCCTAAATAGGGCTCAGGGTTCAGGGTTAGTCTGGGTTCGTCTCACATCTCGCCGTGTTTTGCAAGGTTTCGCAGGACACCTCATGACGTGTTTGTCGGGCTTCGGGGGTGGGTGGGGGTTTAGGGTTTATAGGTTAGGGTTTAGGGGTTACGGTTTAGGGTCTGGGGTTTAGGGTTTAGGGCTTCGGGCTTAGGGGTTTAGGGTTTAGCGTTTAGGGGTTACTTTAGGGGCCTAAATAATTACCAATACTTTTGGTAGTTATACTAGGGCCCCCAAACCCTATGTTCATTATTAAGGCCCCTATATTATGGGCTTCTTCTAGACTATGTTGTGTGGCCAAAGCCAATTGCACCCGAAACCCTAAGCCGTGGGCTACAGGTAAATCTGCAACCCCTGAACTCGACACCCTGAATCAACTACGAAATCCAAGCCGTAAACCCTAAACCCCAAACCCCCCGAGTCAGGCAGTACGACTCCTGCCGCAAGTACTTGGAAGTCGGAAAGCGTGAAGCTCGCTTGCACCTGACAGGATTTCGACGATCTACTTCGGGATTTTTCTAGGGAGTTTTACATGAAGATAATATGGGAGTTTCCGAGAATAGGGGTACCTTATTTTGGGGTCCTTATAATAAGGATCCTATTATTTAGGGTACTATATTTGGGTCCCTATTTTCGGAAACCCCCATATGGGCAGGGGGCCTTGAGGCCTTAATAGTTAGGGCTGGATCTGGGGGGGTATGTAAAGTTAAGGCGAAGCCGACGAATAACATGCGGCAATTTTCAGGCTACTATATCACAGAATCCACACAAGGTTCCCCTTGCTTAAAGAACAGCCCCTTTCAAGACAAGCTAAACACTAAACCATAAAACCCTAAAGCACATCGCGCACAGTCTGCCCGAGCCTCTCCGCAAGAGAATCCCTAAAGCCCCTAAAGCCTCAAGCCCTAAACCCTTAACACCCAGGTTGGCATCCTCGATCAGCGCCTGGCCGTTCTCAACGACCTGTACAGCAGCAGAGTTGCACTGGTGTGGGACTTCTTGAAATTACTATAGTTTGCTTAGGAATTAGTTCTTTATTTTTGTTCATATAAAACCCAGGAGGATATTAAAAATACTGTTTTTATTATGGTTCTGAGATGTTCTGAGGGGGGTATAGATTCTAGGAGTGATAGATTTGTGGTAGATGGGTGTTTATGTCTAAAGGGCTGTGTATGGTCGTATAAGAGTTTGGCGTGCGTGTGTGTGTGTGTGTGTGTGTGTGTGTGTGGGGCTTCTGAAAAAGTTGGCATAGTTAAGAGTCCTATTACATCGGTTTAGAGTTTCGAGGTTTGGGTTTACGCTTGCGAGGCTTGGGCTTTAGGACTGAGGGTTTTAGGAACAAGCGGGACGTGACCATAACAGTGTCCGCGACAATAGCAGTAACGGCGGCGAGAGCAAGAGCGACAGCAATGGCAATAACAACATCGACGATTGGCAATACTTCAAACAGCCCTGTAGAAAACGACTGCTGCATCAGTATCAATCGAGCCAGATCAACAATAACTGTTGCTGCCGACAATGCCAGCGGCAACGGCAACGACACAACACAGCAACCACAACCACACCAGCAATAATGAACTAACAGGTAGTAGTAGTAGTCATCGTCGTCGTCGTAGTCGTAGAACTAGTAGTCGTAGGCGTAGTCTTTGTCGTTGTCGTTCTCGTGGTGGTAGGTGTAGTAGTAGCAGTACAGTCGCAGTAGCAGTAGCAGTAGCAGTAGCAGTAGCAGCATCAGTAGCAGTCGCAGCAGTAGGAATCGCCGCCGTTGTCGTCGTAGTCACCATGGCACTACCTCTGCCCTGGCACCTTGATCCTGGCCCCCAAAATCTAAAATTTGAAGGCTTTGGGCTGTTTCTTGCGTATGAATTAAAGTACCGGTCGGGGAGTCTCTCAACACTGTACACCTACCGTTGCAAAAGCCTTCAAACCCGAAGAACATCCTTCAAGCCCCTTTATGTCTCGAAAGCCCTTCTTGCAGTCGTCAAAAACACCAGCCACGAACGAAATCAAATCACATTTCCGTGCTTAATAGTCTCCTTGTAGGAATCTCTCCGGTAAACCCCAAATGCAGACAAAGGTTTCCTGCAGACGCAGTTGGAGGCCACTTGGAAGATCCGGGTGTAAGGATAAATGGAGAAGGGTTTACAGCGTACCCTAAACCCTAAACCTGAAGCAGTCATAGGCTTTTGTCGATGATTTTCGCAGGCGTTCAAAGGTTTGGTGGGATTCGTGACTGTCCGAGAGGCTTCGATGAGGAATTTAATGCTTATGAGGGTTTAGAGTTCGGGGTTTAGGGTTCAGGGTTTGGGCAGGATGAAGATGACTTGTGATTATGCCTGGTAGTAGGTTGTCGGGCTTAGGGTTCAGGGTTTAGGGTGGATTGTTGCTTTGGCTGCCAATAATGTCAGTATCTCTGCTAGAACCTTGGGTATACCCTAAATCCTCAAACTTTAACCCCTAAACTTTTATCGAGAGGTCTTGGTTTCGGGCTCTCTGGGCAAACCGAGGTGGAGCATTCGAACAAGCTCGCCGCCTGGCTTTGCAAGACGATGCAGTAACACATCTTGGGTTTTGTCGTTTCCATCCCCGGAAAGAGGCCCATGCGCCAATACTCCGTTTAAGAGGACTTCGTTGTTAAACTGAAGAATTATGCCTTTTGACTGAGGGGCTGTTTGAGTCACTGCCCCGGCGGCAGCACCATCAGGAGTGGATCGTGATCGTCCTCATCGTTATCGATCCTTGGGAGCACGCAGTTTGAGGATTGTCTCTAAGGGTTTCTTCGAATTAATTATTTTTTTGGGCGTTTCCTATCCTGGCAGGTTCTCTTTGGTGTTATGTAAGCACCTGAAAACCTTCCCGGGCCAACGGTTTCTACAGACTCTTGCGGAGAGGCGGAGCGCCGCAAAGTCTCCTTTCCCACTTCGCCGGCTAGCCTAAATAGTTACCTATACTGTACTGTTTTGGGGGCTCCTTGTTTCCTTTGTAGTATAAAGCGCTCCCAAACCCTATTCTAATTCTTAAGGCTCCTCCATTAATTGCTACTCCTAAGGGTCCAAGTAATCCTTCTGATGGGACTTTGGGGCTCTTTTGGGTACCCCAAACTATAAATGAGGACTACTTGGGGTACTCGATCGGTTTTACAATACCCTAGGGCTCCAGCTACAGTACCTAAATTGTAGGTGACTGTACATAATGTATATGGTTAGTAACCTACTATATATCTTGGAAATGGTAGATGGTTAGTAACCTACTATCTAGGCAACTGGAGCCCTGGGGATATGTATTACTTCTATTTTCGGAGGAGGGTCCAGGGCTCACTTGTGTCATTGTCTGGGATCTACGCTGACATCATCACAGATTTACGGTGTAGGGCCTTGGTGGAGAACCACGATGAAATCCTAGAGCCCATGACACCCTGATTGAACCCTGTAGAGTTACCTGGTTAAACTACGTACGACCGCAGACTCACGGAGACAGTAAATCCCTATAGCTTATAAGCCCTAAGCAAGTGTATCCTTCAACCCTCAACCCGACCCCCCCCCCAACACAACGTTTATTCGAGCGCGAACTCCAGGAGATCCTTCTGGATCTATTTCACATGTCACCCTTCTACTCGCGGCGCAACTTCGTCATCTGCGGCTTCGATGCGCGTGGTTTGACGGTCGGCGGTTGGGTTTATGGGTGAAGGTCATGTTCGGTGTGTTTGGGTGCTTCAGAGTCTCTAGCCCCCAATGAGAGAACCGTCGAATCCTAAACCCCACCAGCCCTAAACCCTAAACCCTGAGAATTTTTCAATCGCATTAGGGGTCCTAGTATAACTGAAAGTATATTCCTCTATTCCGAGAGATGCGAGGACATGGGCCTTTCCCTATGACCCTAAGCCTTACAAAATTCTAAGCCCTATGTAAGCCTTAAGCATTGCAGCCCTAAGTCCACACCATCCTAGGCCCCATAGTCCACGACTTTAAATCTCATGTAATCCTAGTCCCTACCCTAATGCTAATGGACCCTCGTAGTGAGCTCCCAAACCTTGGCCCCGAAAGCCCAAACCCTCGCCCACAAAGCCCCAAACCCCCTTAGGAGCCTTAGGGTACAGGCCTAAACTCAAAAAGCCCTAAACCCCTTAAAGCCTAAACCCCTAATCCCTAAACCCCTAAACCTAAACCCCCAAACCCATGTAATCCTAGACCCTACAGGCCTAAACTCAAAAAGCCCTGACATTCCCCCTGAAAGAGCACTTGAAACTTAACCCGGAGCCGGAGCCAACAAAGTCCAGCTGTCCCATTGTGAAACCTAAACCCCTAAATCCCGAAACCTAAACCCTAAACCCTAATCCCTAAACCCTAGCCTTTAAACCCTAAGCCCTTAATCCCTAAACCATAAAGCCCTAAACCCCTTAAAGCCTAAACCCCCTAAACCCCTAAACCCCTTAAACCCCCTAAACCCCTTAAACCCCGTAAACCCTTTAAACCCCGTAAAGCCTAAAGCCCTAGGTTGTGTCTTCCTCGTCTCGACGGGCTCCGCAGCCTTTGCCCGGGACGCTTGGCTCGAAGGCTCCGGGGCTTTAAGCGGTTTAGGGTTTAGGGGCTTAGGGGTTCAGGGCTTAGGGTTTAGGGTTTAGGATTTAGGGTTTAGGATTTAGGGTTTAGGGTTTAGGGTTGAGGGTTTAGGGTTTAGGGTTGAGGGTTTAGACTCTAGGGTTTAGGGTTTAGGGCGTACCTTGACCCCGAAAGTATGTCGGATTTTCCGAAAATATGGGTACCTTACTTTGGGGTCCGTATAATAAGGATCCTACTATAGTTGGGGTACTATATTATGGTCTAAACTCCCTGTAGAATAATAGCCTTTTACAGGTGTTGGGCTGTTGTTTTACATACTTTTGGGGTTTACTCCCTGGTGCTTAGTAGGGAATGGGGGAATTGGTCCCTATAGTAGTCCATTTAGATCCCAATAATCGTCCCCATAATCCATTACCGCATTCCCTGCTAAGCAGGAGGGAGTTCAGGCAGGGCTTTAGTGTGTTGAGAGGGAGTGTTGGGGATGTTGTAGCGGTGCTATCAGTGTTTAATCAGGGATCAGGGCTTTCAAATCTTTTGGACTGGTCTTAGAAGGGCTTGACCGGATCCCTGTAGATTTTCAAATGAAGGGTTCTTAATCAAGCAACAGGTTGTTTTCTACTTGTTCCATGGCTTTACAGCGCCTTGTTTTACGTGTTTTTTTATCAGGATTTCTGCAGGCTTAGAAACCCTAAACCTTAAACCCTTCATCCCAGAAATGTTGCTGTTCCACAGACTGGTCTCCCACTGCGCCATACCTCGCAATCAAAGGTACCGACCGCAGGTCTCTGAGGTTGCAGGTAGGGGCTTTAATTTAGGGGTCTGCAAGATTTCTTATGCCCGAAATAACTCTTTTTTTTTGAGTAAAATCTTTCAGGGCTGGGGCTTTCCATGGCTTTTGAGCTTCGAAGGATATCCAGACGGATGTTCAAGCGGATCATGTAAGATAGGAAAGCTTTAAACTCTTCCATGGGTAATTCCGAAACGTCAGGATACCGTTTGCCCGATCAGGGTCCTTCTTAATCATGCGGGTGCCACCTTGTTAACCCCTTCGGTACTGCCCCCACTCAGTAACAGTTGGATAATATTCATAATATAAATATATTAGGACCTCAATGGTAGCCCTATTGTAGACAGTTACTGTATGGGGGCAGTACCCAACCTTAAGCCCTAAACCCTTAAACCAAAGCAAACCTTGAGGCTCTAAAACCAAAAGAAGGCCCTAATAGGCCCTAAACCCTGTAAACCTAAACCGGATTAGGGCTTTAGGGTCTTAGGGTTCAGGGCAGTACCCAATTAACACCGAAAGAGCAGCAAACAAAGCCAAGGAACTTCGGCCGGCCGGCTCGCGGCTCATGCAGCTTTGCACGGTTTAGGGTTTTTTGGGTTTTGGGGTTTTAGGGTTTAGGATTTTGGGGTTTTAGAGTTTAAGGTGTTAGGGTTAAAGGGTTAAGATTTAGGGTTTAAGCTTAGAGATCAGGTTCTAGGTTCTCCAGTACCTGGTCTCCAAAAGTATGTAGAATAATAGCCTGTTTTATAGGTTTATGGGCCATCATTTCGCCTACTTTTGGGGGTTTCGGTAGCACTCTTTTGCCATTTTCGTTTTAGGGTCTCCTTACTAAAACCAGAAAGTAGGAAATAAAGGATACCCTTGTTCTGTTATGAAGGGGCTACTTAGGAACCTAGTTGTCTCGGATTTAGGGTTTGGGATTTACAGGTTCAGGGTTTAGGGATCTGTAAAGGTTCCACGATGGGAGCACTTATAGAAGCTCCTTGGAAGGGGATCTGCAAGGGCGATATACGGAGTCCAGCGTTTAGGTTTTGGGGTGTGTCCGGGTTCTTGGTGGCCCGAGTAGGTTGTGAGGCTCGAAAGCCCATCAGACGCTATGCGATAGGCTAGCACGCCTTATGACTACACCCTCAGGGTCCAAAGGACCCGGTAATTGGGTATATACTTTGGTTTCGGAATTTCGGATAGTAGTTATCTACCCTAAACCCTAAACCCTAAACCCTAAACCCTACTATTTGGGACAGTAAATGATTATTTGGTACTTGGACCCTGGGGGGGCAGGTCTTAGGGCTTTCGGGTTTCACCTGCCGAGCCCCCACTTGAAGAATCAGTGGAATTTATGTTTAGCCTTGCCGTTTGCCGGTTTAGAGTTTAGGGTTTTAGGGTTAAGGGTCATTGTTAAGTAAGCCCTAAACGCTAAACCTCAAACCGAGGCAAAGTCCGAAACCACAAGTAGCTCATAATTGGGGTTTGCATCAAAACCTTCGAGCATCCCTGATCTTCCAAACCCTAAAGCACAAACTGTCAACCGTAAAGCCTATATATATATAACCCTCAGGCCCTAAACTGTAGACTTTAAATTATAAGCTCTAAAGCCCTAAACGGTTTAGGGGTAAGCCCTAAACCCCGCAAGTCCTAAGCCTTCTAGTCTGGCTTCACCTCATGCTCAGAGGCAGCGTCTACGACCCAAGAATCATTGGGGAAGGCATGGCAAATCTTGGGGGGGCTTCGGGATGAGAGATTTTGGATTTTTCGTGCGGAGGGATGTAGGGTTCAGGGTTTGGAGCTCTTTTTCTCCTTTGGCGGTTTAAGCGTCCCTTTTGGTGGTTTAGGGTTTAGGACTTAGGGCTTGGGGTTGGGTACCTGAGCTGTACGTGGGGGGGGCCATCATTTTTTGGGGCGCTGTTTCCCATAACCCTCAGGGTCCAAGTACTTTGAGAAAATCATACTCTCCCGAATAGTAGCCTACAAACTCCACTATCCTCAACCCAGGTACCTGATTCTTAGCCCTAAGGGTCCAAGTACCCACCCAATAATTATATACTCTCCCAAACGTAGAGCTACATAACTACTATCCTAAAACCCAAGTACCTTATTATTGGGTCCTTTGGACTATGAGTCCTTAGATCCCTAAACCCTATAGATCCCTTTAAAGGACCCCTTATAGATCCCTTTAAAGGAACCCCTTATTGTTGGGTCCTTTCGACCCATCGGGGTAGGTGCCTTTGGACCCTTAAGGTAAGGGCCTGGTCTATCCCCGCACGCCCCAACAAATCAGCCCGGGGCTCTTCCAGTGCAAAGCCTAAACTAGCTTAGAGGGTCCATATGTCTTACAATCATGGAATTAGGTCCCAAAAGACCATCCTTATTATGGTTTTGGGAGCTTAATTCCATAATAGTAGTATATATGAACCCTCTTGGCAGGTAGGGCTTTGGGACATTTTAGATATTCCCTTGTTGGGCTGAAGAGGATCTTACTTGTAATTTTTTCAAAGGCTTTAACAGTACCACCTAGTAAACGCGAAGACGCTGCGAGCAGTCATGCTAGTCATCGGGGTGTCTCGAGTTAGGGTTTAGGGTTATAGTCTCCATTGTAGTTCCTCTTTTGGCTGAACCATGTTTATATTTAGGTTCCTAGAAGGTAACACCAAGAGAAGAACCATAATGGAGACTGTAGGTCCTATTCATTGGGACTTCGGGTGTAGAGTTTACGGGTAGGAACAGAGCCAAATATTGCCAAGAACTTTCAGGGAGGTTGAAGCACAACTTCGCAGCCATAGAAGATCAGCAGTGGCTCGGAGGCGTTGGCAAAGGCTTCCGTTTGGGATGGACGGCCGTTGAGTTCAATCAAGAGCCGAAGCTACACAGGAAGCCGATGCGTGAGACGCTAGCCTCGGCACAGAAGCGGATCGATGAGACCAAGAAGCACGATTCTGCACCGAAACATCGAGTCCCCGAGGGAAGACAGGTGAGGAGGAAGGAGGCGGCGAGCCTCCTTCGGGAGTGAGTGCAGGAAACAGCTTGGCGCTGCCAATCAAGAGTTTGCTGTGGATCTACTTCTTGAAGACTACCTATAGTCTCCATTGTAGTTCCTTTTTTTGGTTTAACCAATTTTACATTAAGGATCCTAAAAGGTAACCCCAAAAGGGAACTACAATGGAGACTATAGGTAGTTGATGCAGCGAATGCTCAGGATTGTTTTACAGTAGAAGCCAGAAAGTTGGAATATGTTTTTTGTAACTCCTTTAAGGTAAATTATAGGGGATCCTATACCATGAAACCATATTCCAACTTTCTGGAGTTCCCTTTGGGGGTTTGGATCTGAGGGGTTTGGGGTTAAGAAGGCCTAGGTTCCCGAGACCAGGACCCTCCTTGTACCCTCAAATAGGGGTATATGGGAGTTTCCGAAAATAGGGGGTACCTTATTTTGTGGGTCCTTACAATAAGGATCCTACTACTGAAGGTACTATATTAGTGTCCCCTATTTTTGGAGCCTCCCATATGGTCCCAAATAAGGGGCATTTAGGGTCTAACAGAGGGTAGATGGAGGGTCTAGGGAAGTATATGTTGTTCTTTCTGTTTTGGGGGTCCCTGTATGGAACCGACTAGCAGGTGCATGTTGCCCTTGTTGCTCGGGGACTACTTCGCTTAGACTCTACACCTGAATTTTTTCCTAAGTCCTATAGGCCTTGGATCCTGAAATCCTTACACGCTAAACTCTCCGTTATGTGTGGGTTTCTAGTGACTTTGGATTTAGGGTTTTGGGTTTAGTGTTTAATTAGGGTTTAGTGTTTAATTAGGGTTCGGGTTTAGGGTTAGGGGTTAGGGTTTAAGGATTATGGACTGCGTTTTTGATGCGGGAAAGCCCCTACCTTGCCGCAAAACCTCTTTCCAAGGGTAAACGGAGGGGCCCTTAATCAGGACCCCCTAGGTATACACCCTTAATATAGCTATTACATACCCTTAACATAGCTATTATATACCCTTTACATAGCTATTATATACCCTTAACATACTTATTATATATCCATTGTATAGCCATTCTAGAGTAGGGGTCCCCATTAAGGCGTCCCTCCTTTTCCCCTTTGACTCCTGAGAGGCTCGCTCTCTGGGCAGCAGCCGGCTACGGGCTCTGGCACCTGATCACCCTGCTGCGACCGAAAGTTCCTAGGCTCCGAAAATCAGATCCCCCTTGAAGGAGCTTCTAGAAGTAATCCCTTCTAGAACCTTTACAGATCCCCTTAAGGTGAGCTCCAAAGACCCTAAACCCGCAAATCCTAAACCCGAAATCCGAGACCACGAGGTTCCTGAGTAGCCCCTTCATAATAAGGGTATCCTTTATTTCCTACTTTCTGGTTTTAGTAAGGATTCCCTAAAATGAAAATGGCAAAAGGGTATATCCTACCTAGACCCCCCAAAATAGGTGAAATAATGCCCAAAACCTATTAAAAGCCCGCTATTTTACATACTTTTGGGGTCCAGGTAGGCTTCAACAAGCGATGTCTCGGGTTTGGGGTTTCAGGTTTTGGGGTTTAGTGTGAGCTTCCTTCCAAGCAGAGTTTGGCTCTGTTTTTCCAGATTTGGCATCGTGCATGTCAGAAATTATAGGAAGTACCTATAGTCTCCATTGTAGTTCCTTTTTGGGGGTTACCTTTTGGGATCCTTCATGCAAAATTGGTTAAACCAAAAAAAGGAACTACAATGGAGACTATAGGTATGACACGCTTTTGGGTTGAGCGCTGGCAGGTTACCGCCTAATTGTCTACGATGCCCAGTAGTACCCTTATTCCCTTTTTCTAGTCCTAGGTTCCTTATAAAGTTACCCAATACCAAAAAGAGAGGCCTTTTTATTCCTAGGTTACTGGGTATCCTAATTGTTCATCTCTCAAAAAGCATTGACTAAGGTTCCGCCTCCACTACTCTTCCTTCCAGGCGCGCCCGTTCGAGGTCTTTTGGGATTGGGGTTTAGGGACGTGAGGCTTTGGACCTGGATTGTTTTTGGGTTTGGCTTCAAGCACCTTTGGTTTCAACTGTGGAGCTCGTGCTGTGGACAGAGGGCCCAACATTTTGCGAAGTCGGTCAGCTTGGTGATCAGGTGGGCCCGCTTTGTCCCTCGTGACTAGGGGTTTTAAACTCGATTTGCTGGACCACTCCAAGCATCCAGTCCGTCAGCCTGACCAGAAACTACATACCTGCCGTCTGAAAGAATACAGCCTTAGAACAGCCTTAAAGCATTGCAACCAATGATAAAGTCCTCCAACACCGCTACCATAATTCTGGAAACCCTGCAAAACGTTCAGTTCCCGGCAGCAACTTCATAAGATCCTTGAGCACCCTAAAACCCCAAACAACCTTGTGATAGGTCCTTATCAACGAAAAGCTCCCTCAGTGGCTTAGTTGGTAACCTTTCACCTCTTTGGAGTTTATATAGTCCAAACATAGTTCAGAAGGTTAACCGTTTTGGGGATAAGGCACTCAGCCCCTAGGCCCTAGGCCCCTGTGAGGTCTTCGAAAGCTGGGAAAAAAACGCCCAAAACACATGGAAAACTCGAAGTCCGAAACCCTCAGCCAGGACCCCCCCAACCGGCCCTTTAATTGAGCCCTAATGGACCTTAATAGAAGCATATCAACACCACTAAAGCCCAAAACTTCTAAACCCCTAAAACCCTAAACCTCTAAACTCTAAACCCCCATTAGAAGGTAGCTTGTGGGTCCTAAGAGCCTCGATTCAACTCTAAACCCTCAACCCTGAACCCTACACCCTTACCCTGTAAAGCCCTAAGCTGGGTTCTTGTTAAGAAAACTTCATTTAAGTTGCCATAAAAGGGAGATATAATAATTAGTAAGGTTTCTTTCTTATGGTAGCTTAAATGAAAATTCCTTCTCCACTAGAACCCAGTAGAAGGCTCGGGGCTGTCCTTGCCTTTGGCAGTGGTGCCGCGCTTGCCACCGTCCCAGTGGCTTGCTCAAGTCAGAGGGGTTTAGGGTTTAGGGCAGTGTAGGGTTTTAGGGTTCAGGGAAAGGGTTTAGGGTTTAGGGGTTCAGGGTTCAGGGAAAGGGTTTAATAATCATGCTACTCGGGCTCCTATTGATGACCCAGGACTACTACTCTGTCGGGGTTCCTTAGTCTTCAACAGCAGTACGGAATGTACACGTGTATCAGGTTGCTAGAGATTACAAAGTGCGTAATGCTATTCCGCAGGGCTCCTGATTGAAACGCCATGTATTTGGTAGTATTTGAAAATGCCGTGAATCATTGTGAGCGTCCTTCCCTGAAGAAGGGCTGTTCGGGAATAGCACCCTCTGACACGCTTAGAGCACCCGCACAAAGCCCTGAATGGATTGTGCTAGTTCACACGTGCAACTGAATGGGGCGGCTGAGATTAGGGCCCAGGTTTGGTTCAGGGCCCCCCTATAGAGATGTGAACAATTCGTATAGTGGTCTCTCTAGGCATTTGTTCAGGCTTGGAGTCACTTCCTCAAAGCTTGTGCGCCTAAACTCAACACACAAGAATCAAAACCCTAACTGCTATGACCCTGACCTCAAGCCCCAATCACAGCCCTAAACCCCAAAACCCTAACACCCCAAAGCCCCAAAGCCCTAAAACCCTAAAGACCCTAACAGCCCTAAGCCCTGGAACATGTAGCCGGAGTCTCGACGAAGGCTTGCAGGAAGGTGCGTTCCCGCACCGAGTCAACTGCAGACCCTGCGCCCCTTCGCCAAAGTGCGTCGGAAGCTGGGCAGAAGAGCTCCCTGCCTGCTTGAGCTTGGTGTTCTCTTAGTCGCTAGTCGCGTTTTGAATGTAAGAGTTCTACAAGGATACGTGAGGGGGTGATCGTCTCTCAGTTTAGTAGGGTTTTTTTTTTGTGCCTCAAAGTGTCTCGGTCCCAGAGGTACCACCGCCCCGCTTTCTGCGAGAGGGGGAGAGTTCTTCTGGCTCTCAAAGCTGAATCAAAGGGGAAAAGGAGGGATCCTTAATCGGGACCCCTACCCGATAATGGGCTATATCATGGGTATATAATAGCTATATTATGGGTATATACCTAGGGGTCCTTATTAAGGGTCCCTCCTTTTACCCTTGGACTGAATCATGTCAACAGGCGTATGGGAGTTAGGATTAGGGGGACTCTTGGGGATAAAGACCCTCTCAATAAGGTCCCTTTAAGGCGAGCCAGGAGTAGGGTTCATAAGGGGTACCTTTTAAGGGGTCTCTCAAACAATGCTACCTAGCGTATCTTGTTTCAGGTGTTACTCGAGAACCTCACAGTACCCACCCGCAAAAATCGCGTGCTTTGGTCTTGTTCAAAGAGCCTACTAGCCTTCTGTTTCTCTGCGTTTCTGGGGTTCAAGGCTTGGGATAGTGTGGGACTTTGTGGATTGATTTTTTCAATGAGGCTGTCCCAGAAGCATAGTCATAAAAGCCCGTACGAATATGAGAAGTTCGGACTACCCTAACCTGCAAGTCATGGTTGACTAGCCCCTTCGGCATTGCACGAGGATCCCGTGCCAGGATCCTTACGATCCTGATTTGCTTTTGATAGAAGTACCTGAAAGATAATCCCGAATTTCAAATAGCTCTCTTGTGAAATATCGGCACTAACCCTGAAGTTCGGCTTAAACAAGGACCCTGAATGCGTTTAAGTGTAGTGTTTTCTCAGCATTTCATGCAAGTGTACCAGGAAAGACCCCAACACCCTGACCTAATTGTTCAGGCTCCTATTTTGGGGGGCCAATAGCGAGGATGATGGATCGCTTCATCCAGCCCCGCTAGCACTGAATACTTAGTAGTCAGAATACAGTATATTTCCATAATCTGCCTAAACTCCACAACTCATTTGCGGAATCCTTATCGGCTTAGTAGCTGAGTTTATAAACTTTAAACTTTTTGGTGTAATGAAACCCTCTTAAGACTGACAGTTTAAACTTTTTTGGGCCTATGAGCTCGGCAACTAGGTCGGAGCCTGTATGTAAATGGCTCCAACAACGAACCCTTGAAGGAGCCCTCGACCGATTTAGTGAGGGGAACCCCTTCCATGAACCTTTCAGGGAACCCTAAAAGGAACCCTAACAAGGAACCCAAGAAAGATTGGGCTTGAGGCTTTATACATAATTATATAGGGTTTAGGGTTTAACGTATAGGGGTTTAGTAAACCCCAAACCCTAAACCTTAAAATCCTAAACCCTAAATCCCAAACCCTAAACCCTAAGCCCTAAGCCCTAAATCCCAAACCCTAAATCCCAAACCCTAAACCGTAACTTAAAGCCTCAACCTTCAACCCCAGGACCTAAACCCTAAACCCTAACGGAAAACCCTTAAACCCTAACCTAAACCCTTAACCCTAAGCCCTAATAGGTTTCCTTTAAAGGAGCCTTTCAACGCCATCCGAGGCTTCCGAGGCTTCTGAGCGCCCGGCGGGCGTTGCGACGCAGATCGCTGCGCTGCTCACGCCCGGGGACCGGCGATGGCGGGCTCGGGGATTTTGGGGCTCGGGGTTTGGGGTTGAGGGTTTGGGGTTGAGGGTTTTAGGGTTGGGGTTTGGGGTTTAGGGTTAGGCTTTGGGGTTTAGGGTTTTGGGTTGTTTTGGGGTTCCGATTCGGAGAGGAACCCTGTAGGGTTCCTATTTTGGTGAGTCCCTTTTCGGGGTCGGTTGCTGTATTGCAGGCCTAGGAGGCGTTTTGCTGTGCTTGTTGGATGGAGGGTACAGGGTTTATCCGGGTCTGTAAGTTCTCTGAGGGGTTTGAGGCTTGGGGGGGTTCCTTTTCAGCGCACCTTCGAGGGATCTCTGTGGGTTCAGGGTTTAGGGTTTTAGCCTGTAAAGGTTTCTTGAGGGTGTCACAAGGGTGTTACTCAACGGCAGGTCTCTCATGAACGGGCACAAGAATGGAAGCGCGATATTCAACCTCAGCCCTTAGGCGACGATATCTTAGCGCCCTCCTACTGGCATGGAGTAGAAAATCTAAGGGTTAGCAAGGCTCCCTTTAAAGGTACTATAGCAGGGCGCCATACTACGGCTCCTTTCAAGGGTTCCTTTAAAGGAGTTGCACGTTCTCACTAAGAGTACATCAGCCTAGGGGGCTACAATGGGATCTGTTTCTACTTGTACTGTTTGGTGGTTTAGTGTTTGAGGTGTATGGTCTTTCGAGTTTTTGCTTCTGGTTGAGATCGTTTTCGGCTTCATAGAGGAGGTTTTCGTAGGCTCAGGAGTTGACTTGCGGCTTCAGGTTTAGGGGTGAAAGGGCTTTGCTGCAAGCTTCATTTGGGCTCTTGGGTTTTCAGAGGTTTCGGAGGCTTTGTGGTTTTCACGGGAGCAACATCATACTATAGAAAATGAAGTCCCTAAGACACCAAATTCTAGCAGCCCTCTCACCACCAAATTGACCCCCTGCAAAGCCTTCATGAAGCCAACTTTTAAGCCCGACCTTCTTCGAACCATGCAGATGCAAAAAGACCAAATAAACATGACTTAGAAACCAGAAACCCTGCAGAGCCCTCTAACAAAGCCTTATAAGCCTCAGGTATATCAGAGCACCGATCTCCCCACAACCCTCAAAACGCACACGCAACGCATCCCTGAACCTCCCTATAGTCTCCATTCTCCATTGTGGTTCCTTTTTTGGTTTAACCAATTTTATATTACCAAAAAGCAACTACAGTAGAGATTATAGGTAAAGCATACAATGTACCCCAAAACACTGTTCCGATGATTGTAGTTCCTTTTTTTGGTTTAACCAATCTAACCCCGACTCCCAGACCTTCCAAAATCCATTAATTAAGGAATATACCTTAAATTATAATAGGGTCCCTAATATGATTTAAGGTATATTCCTTAATTAAGGGGTCTTGGAAGGTCTGGGCTTCAGAAGTTTCCGACACGAGGCTCCTCCTGGGCATCTGCGCGCTGCTCTGCGCTGCCCTGACGCAGCTGGCAGCGCCCCCTTTGGTGGCGCAGGCAAGGCGGATTTTGGGTTCCACCTGTCGGGAGACTCCTAAGCCTTAGATCATCATAGCCCAAAGGGTCCTATGTATTGTTATGGGGGTTACCTCCCTGAGCTATTTAATGGTAATTCCTAAATAGAAACCCTACAATCAAGTATATAAGTATATAGGTACAGAGTACCCTTTGGGTAAGAGTCATTGTTTGAAGGGTCCACAAAGACGTACTTTATTCGGTCATTCGGTACCTGGGTTATGGATCATAGTTTTGCTCATCCGAATTTGTGAGAGTACATCGGGATATGGAATGTATGGGACACAGGTTCTCAAGGGACTAGCTTAAAATTCGAGAGCTGTTAACGGCTCCCAGAGCACGTAGTCAACTTGTAGAAGCGCCGGGGAAGCTTTACTAGTCAAAGGGCTGCATTCGTCAGCAGAAGACTGATTTGTCTTTTGCTCCTTCGGTGCACCGACACGTGGTAACCAAAGAGCAGTGCCCCATGCTCCACCACCTGCGAAGTGTATGGAAGAAATTCGGTGGCCTCCGCCAGGCGTTGTTTGCTGCCACGGCTGGTGTGCTTCGGCTGATTTCAGCGAGTCTGTTGATTCGAAGCCCGAAACCTGAGACCCTAAACCCTATAACCTCAGCCGTAGTGTTGTACGCTTTGAAGTTATTCTGACCCTCTTGCCTGCGGAACTCCAAAGATCCTAATCCCTAGACCCGAAGCCCTGCAGTAAGTCCAAAAACGCCCTAAACCTTAAGCTAAACCCTGAACCCTCAAACCCTGAACCCCCACCTCCTGAAGCCCGAACCTCAGACCCTAAACCCAAAGCTCCTGAACTGAAAACCCTCTACATACATCCTCAGTCCTAGGCCATGCTTGCAGTTCCAAACCTTACGAACTCCAAACTCAATAAATTGTAGTATCCTTAAGGGAGGGGGGTCCAAGTGGGGGTATATAGCCTATTGATCCCTAATTCTCCCTAGTACTCCCTAGTACTCCCTAAGGTTCCCTTACAGTCCCTATAACCTGATCATCCCAATTCCTAAACCAGCAGGTGGTCACGAAGAAATGGGAGTTTCCGAAAATAGGGGGTACCTTATTTTGGGGTCCTTACAATAAGGATCCTACTATTAAGGGTATTATATTAGGGTCCCCTATTTTCGGAAACTCCCAAATAGTCATCCATAGGGTTTAGGTACTATGGTTGGGAGAAGCTTCCCTGTAGCCCTGGCATGCACCAAGGAGGCTGCAGTCTTGAGCGGGAAAGCGGCTGAGCTGAAATTGATGGCGCTCGGCGGTTCTCTAGTTTTTTGCCGGGATTTTGATTTTGCCTCCACCCTAGGCCGATATGGGGGTTTCCGAATATTCGGGACCATAATACAGTGCCCCAAATAGTAGGATCCTTATTATAAGGACCCCTAAATAGGGTACCCCTAATTTTCGGAAACTCCCATATCCCCTACACCCCAAAACTCTATAACCCTACGCCCAAAGGTCTCAGCCTGAAGAGGTGAGCCTATTACTTACCATCATTGTTCCTACTACTGTTCCTGATCACTATTAATACTATGGCTATCAACAATATGACTACCATTATTAGTACTTCTATTACTATGAAGTATGACTACTATGATAGTTAGGGTTCAGGCTTTAGGGATGTCATAAGGGAGTTTCCGAAAGTAGGGCCCCTAATATAGTAACCTAAATAGTAGGATCCTTATTATAAGGACCCCCCCCCCAAAAAAAAAGGTACCCCCTTATTTTCGGAAACTCCCATAAAACTCGCCTTGAATGAAGTATGACCACTATGATAGGGTTTAGGGTTTAGGGAGGTCATAAATCTCGCAAGCCTTGAATGAAGGGTTTAACCAACTATCTATTAAGGATCCTATAAGGTAACCCCCAAAAAGGAACTACAATGGAGAAAATAGGTAGGGCTTAGGGAACTATGATAGGGTTTAGGGTTTAGGGAAGTCATAAAATTTCGCAAGCCTTGAGAAAAAAAGGTCATAAAACTCTGAAGCCCTAAACCCTAAACCCTAAACCCTAAACTCTGAAACCCTAAACCCTAAACTCGTGAACCAGAAAGACGCCATTGCACTTTAAAAAAAACCCTAAACTCTTGAAGCCTCCTTGTACTACCCCTCAAAGGAACCCTTATAGATCCCTTTAAAGGAACCCTAGGAGGCCTGAATTTAAGAGGCTTGTCTCCTCGTGGCTGTGGCCCTGGCCCTCGCTTTGCTCAACGGCCTCCGGGCCTTCGCGTTCCACATGGCGCGAGTTCGCTGCTTGGCCTCGAAGCAACTGTAGGGCTTAGGGGTTTATAGGTTTAGGGTTTAGGGTTTAGGGGTTAAGGTTTAGGGTTTAGGGTTTACCTAAAGGCTCCAAAGTAGTTCTTTTTTGGGGTTCATATAAAGAATCCTATAGGGTAATCCCAAAAAGGAACTACTATGGAGCCTATGGGTATAGGTTTAGGGGTTGGGGGTTTAGGGTTTAGGGTTTAGGACTGTGAGTGATCCCATGATGGACCCTCTACAGATCCCCTTAGATGAGCTCCTGAGACCCTAAGACCCTACACCCGTAAATCCCAAAGCCTAAAGCCCAGACAACTGGGTTCCTAAGTAGCCCCTTCATAGCAAGGGTATCCTTTATTTGCTACATTTTGGTTTTAGTAAGGAGACCCTAAAGTGAAAATTTCAAAAATGAACTGCCTAGAGCCCCAAAAGTACGTGGAAGAATGGCCCGAAGCCTATGAAAGGCTATTGTTCTACATACTTTCGGGGTCCAGGGAAGGACCTTAGGGCTCATGGGGTTTTATGGGTTCAGGGGTCTAGGATATTTTTGGGGGTTTGGGGTTCAAGAGTTTAGGGCTTATGGGTTTGGGGTTTAGGGCTCAGGGTTTGGGGTTAGTGTTTGTGTGTCCACATCTGTGTGTGTGTGTGTGTGCAGCGCTTGGTTACAGGTTCAGGGTTTGGGGTCTGGTGGGGAAGAGAATTGGGTGTTTACTATACGGGCCTTACTTAACACTAGTCTGGGGGTTCCTTCTTATAACTATAGGATAAGGGGCCCCCAAACCCTAATTATTCTAGTTATTAAGGCCCCTATATTATGGCATTAGGGATCTGCTTTTTGGGTTTTGTGCACGCCTTTGTGGTCCCTCCTGATCGGCAAGGCTTCGTGAGTCGCTTGCGCGAACGCTGCTTCCGTCACTACATGTGCCGCGGCTGTTTCTGTTTAGGGCTTAGGGTTGAGGGTTTAGGGTTGGGGGGGAGGTTCAGGTTTCAAAAGGGTTGGAAACCCTATAATCCCCCGTGTCAGTCTCCAAAGCCCGTAGTTTCACCGCATCGAAGTCACTTATGCACCCTGTGATAGTCTCTTCGCAAAACCCCTGAGATTTCAAGCCGAAGTTGATAAACCATTGTACAGTACATTACAGTACCCCTAACAACTTGACATGCCCTTACTTATGCACGGTCGGATAGCCTTTTTTTTTTAAATCCCTGAGATTTCAAGCCGAACTTGATAAGCCATTATACAGGATCGCCCCTTTGGGTACTGCCCTCACTCAGCAACAGTTGGATAACATTCATAATATAGGTATGTATACTAGAACCTTAATAGTAGCCCTAGTATAGACTGTTACTGTATGCGGGCAGTACCCAAGATCGCCTCATGACAAGGTCGCAGGACATGGCTTTCTTTGACAAGGCGGTGCTTAGGGCGATGGCGGGTTTTGGGTTTGGGGCGTTGGGGATAGGGTGTAGGGTTTTTAAGGTTTGTTTGTTTTTGTTGGGGTTCAGGGTTTTGGGGATGGGTTTTTGGGAATGAGCAGAGTTTCTTCGGGGTTAGAGCCGAGGGGCTTCAGGGTGTCAGGGCAAGGGAGGGTTTTTTAAGTTTTGAGGGTTTTTTTGCTCTGGTTTGGTACTTCTGATGGACAAAATCCTGCATGACCCTAAGGACTCTAAACTATGGGAATTATGGTATCTTCCTTATCATGGGTAATGCAGGATTTTGTCCATCAACAGTAGTGTGGGGATTTAGGTGTTGCTTACGCGTGGAGCCTGCAGCATGGGAAGGCTTCCTTTCAAAGGGGAAAGGAGAGACCCTTAATGGGGACCCCTACCCTATAATGGGCCTATATTAAGGGTATATAATAGCTATATTGAGGGTATATACCTGGGGGTCCTTTTTAAGGGTCCCTCCTGTTCCCCTCGGATACTTGCATGGCTGAAAGTGCCAGGAAACGAGTGAGCGCACGGTTTCTGATTTAGGAGTCAGCGGTGTCTTGGGGTTGAGGATACGGGGGTGTTGCAGGGTTCTTGCTGAAATCACACAGCTGTCGAATCTGCATCAGTGATAGTTGCGATACTGCTTTAGGGTAGGAACCTGATTAAGAAACCTTGGGCCTAGAACCCCTAAACTTGCAGGATTCATATCAGGAACCCTAACAAAGGCCCAAGGTTTCTTAATCAGGTTCCTACATTATTTTCGTACCCTTATAGATCCCTTTATAGTAACCCTTATAGACCCCTTTAAGTACCCTTATAGAATATCCCTGAAAGTAACCCTTATAGACCCCTTTAAGGGAACCACCTTAACCGCGGGCTCCGAGCCAGGTGGATGCTTCAGAGCTGACATCGAGGTTGACATCAGACTGTCAGATGGCCAGCTGACCTGCACGGTCTTGGGGTCTAGGTTTAGTGCTTATAGGACTTGGGCTCGATTCTTTTAACGGGTTTAGGTTTACGGTTTGAGGGGGGAAGGGTTTAAGTTCAGGGTTTAGGGTTTCGGATTCTGGGAGGGCTAGGGAAGCTTTGAACCTCACGAACTAAATAATGAAGGGACCTGGATAATTAGAACAGGGTTTTGGGGCCCATTTTACGATACCTGTAATAAGGAGCCCCCAAAATGGTGTCGGTAATTATTTACCACTATGGGCTATTAGACCCTAAAGATCCCTATTAGGACCCTATTAAGGGTAGATTAAGGTACCCATAAGGTCTAATAGCCCATAGTGGTAAGCCTCGATATCAGTCAAAATTAGGAGGTGGAATCTCCGAAGGTTTCAGAAAGAGGGGCTCCGCGGGTTCAGAGTTAGGGTTTAGGGTTTAGGGTTTAGGGTGAGCTTCAGCTGAGAAAAGCCGTACACCCAGGCCTAATCCTAATTCCCTGAAGCCCTGATCCTTAAACCTTTCTAGAATACGCCCAAGCCTGAGCAAAAAGCCCTGAAGACATAGGGTCAGGGATGTAGGGGTTTTAGGGTATACTTTTCCCCAGGTGGTTGCCAACTTTCCTTGTCTGAGCCTCCCCGAGGTCTTCGCTAGCCTTGATGACGTGCTAAACTTTCTCCTGCGGTCGAGCAGCGTCACCTTCCTAGGCTCCTCGGCGAGCCCGTTGGGTTCAGGATTTAGGGTTTAGGGGTTAGGGTTCCAGGGTTTCGGGTTTAGGATTTTGGAGTCTTATCTAGGGCTTTGTCTTGGAGGCCGTCTCACAAGGAGCCTATTTTCTTAGAGTCCAGAAGGGTCCTTATCATAATTATTGGCTCCCCTAAGACCCGAAGATGTGCTCCAAAGCCAACTCCAGATCCCAAACTCCAAACCCTAAAGCTACCATGTGGGCAGTTGTCAAAATCAGGGTCCGTTTTTGGGTAAATACCCTAAATATTAGGTGCCGTATTATGATCGGGACCCAAAAAAGGGACCCTACATAGTTTTGACAACCACCCATGTAGCTACGGTTGACGATATAAATCCTGAACTACCCATAATAAGGAATATACCATAGTTCCGATAGTTTAGGGTCCTTAGGGTATTCAGGATTTATATCATCACCGGTAGTTTAGGCTACAGGTAGACCTTAGACGGCCACGCAGGAGCCGGGACCCCAACAGCCCTAGTCAAGAAGCATGATCAGTTTGAAACCAGGCTCCTTAGTTTGATTATTGAGTGTAGTATCATAGAAACATATATATATATATATATATATATATATTGTAGCATGCATATAAATGTATATATATATATACACACCCTCGACGAAACTGAGTCCAGTCAGTATGAATGCCCATATATGTTGACTGCCCTACCCTGACGAGCTGTGAACTCCTTGAAGTTTCGTGTGCTTGTGGAAACCTGTTCTAAAACCTTGACATAAAACCCTAAACTCCCAGAGCCCGAGACGTGTTTTTTATTGTACTGCATAGATCAAAAGCGTTCCAAAGTGAGAACCCGACGGCTGGTGCGAGCAATGTCGTGTAATATCGTTCAATTTTCTGGGCAAACCCGAACCCGAAAGTCGTGAGAAGCGTAGGCGTAGACCTGATGCCACACACCTCTCAAGCGATGCCTCGTTAATGCAACCACTGTATCATAAAGCAGTTACAGCACCTTATCGAACCTGAACAAGACCCAAAGCCTAAATCTTATGAAACCTAAAACCTGTATAGAAAGCACTGTAGCATACAGGAACTCTCAAATGTCCCTACACGATCCCATCAAGCCTCACAAAAACTCAGAAAACCCCAAACCCTGCATACCTTACCCTCTAAGCACTAACCCTAAACCCGACACCCTAAACCCTATACCCAAAACCCCAAACCCAAAACCCTAAACCCTACACCCCAAACCCTATAAGAACATTCCCAAGGCTCGGTGGCGTTGGTGCGGGCCTCTCCTCGCCTCGCTCTGCTGGCGGCTTCGGTGCTGCTCTGCCTGGCTGTCTCCACGCGCAGGCGCGCTTGTTTTCGGAGTCCGGTCTAGGGGTTCTGGGTGTTTTTGGGGTTTAGGGTTTGCAGTTTAGGGTTTCGGGTTCAGGGTTCGGGTTTTCGGGTTCCGGTTTATATAGGGGTTTTGGGTGTTTTAGGGGTTTAGGGTTTAGGGTTTGCAGTTTAGGGTTTCGGGTTTGGGGTTCGGGTTGAGGGTTTAGGATTTAGGCTGTAGGGTTAGGGCCTCATAAGGATTCCATGAGGGTTTTTACACAGGTGTCACTAAGGCACGTTTTGAAGGCTCCAGGAAGGGTTCATAATTGAAGGGTTCCAGCAGTTCATGATGGTATTAGGGTGTCATTAAGTCTTGCAGGAATTACCTAGGTTCTCGCTGAATGTTTAAGGTAGGGCTTAGAGCATAATGGCTGATTTGGAGTCTAAGTAGAGAGGTTTGAAGGGTTTGAAGGGCCCACAGATGTGTGAAAGTTCATGGTCCACGTGCTACGACAGGCTTCTAAAGAGATTCTGCAAGGGTACTACAAGGATTTCGTGTTGACGGCTACTGTGAGGGTTGAAGCCAAAGTTCAAGGGCTGTACCGGATTGGACTATTCAGTATGCTCTTGTATGTGAGTTTGGAAGTAGACAGCCTCACTTCATTGCAGCAGAGTCCTGAACGCAGGAAGCCTTAAACTTGGTTGAGGAACACTACGGCCCCAGACCCCACAACCCAAATCGTGATGGGCATCATGTTGCCGCAAGCAAGCCTTAGAATCCTTGAAGCCAAGACATTCAAGCCTAAACCCCGAAACCTTAAACCCTAAACCCCGAATTCCTTTGAACCCTAGGCTGAAAGCCTCAGAAGGCCCAACCCCGAAACCTAAAAGCCCCGAATGTCAGACCCTAAGCATGAAACCCTGAAGCCCTTTTTTTGAGGGCCTTTAAAAAAAAACAAAAGCCCGAAGCCCCAAAACCTAAAACTTCTAGCACCTTCATCTTCAACCCCTAGAACCAGCCCCTACTTGAACCCTGAAGAACCGACCGTTTTCAGGACTTAGTATAAGGAACTCATAATATCGGAAACCCCAAAAAGCTAGAAACTTCAGGGTTAAGGTAGGCCCTTATTTTCCATGGGATTCAAAGGCCTCCCTTCACACCCCAAAACCCTGGATTCGGAGGTACTCTGAGGCCAGGGCAGTGACACGGGCAGCGTGGTTCTGTGGTTGGCATTTTAGGTTTTCGCAGGGTTTAGGGTTTAGGGTTTAGGGTGGTTCTGTGGTTGGCATTTTAGGTTTTCGCAGCGTTTCGGGGCTAATTGGGGTTGTTTGCAAGAGGTTTCAGAGGTGGGCTGAAGGTTGCCCTAAGGCTCCAAACAGGCGTAGGGGCTTTGTGGGCGAGGGTTTGGGCTTTGGGGGCTAAGGTTTAGGATCTCACTACGAGGGTCAAGGAGCATTAGGGTGGTGGCATGAACCTTTGTAAAACAGAGCCCGGGATCATGGGTTCTGCTTACGTACCTTCATCTCACCATTCGAGGCTTATAGTTGGGGTTTTGGGTAAGGGTGTTTGGGGTTTAGGCTTAGGGTTTATAGGGTTTATAAAGTTTATATGGTTTATATGGTTTTGGTTTTTAGGTTTCGTTTCAATCGCGGGCTTTGAGGTTCAGGGGCTTGCGGGTCTCAATTCCTTGCGGTAGGTGGCAGACGAATCCGGAAGGCTTCTCATTCTCATTGATCAGGGGCATACCATGGCAATAACAACGCTAATAATTTACACATACAGCAATCAGTGGTGATGATGATGATTACTATTGCTATATATACGGTTAGTAGAGCATTCACGGCTACATGTTGCAACCCGTAGACTTCAATAGCAGTCCTAAGAAGAACCCTTGTAGCACCCTTTCTCTCAGACCTTTCAGAATCCTAAACCCTAAAGTACGCTTGCACCGTAATTTGCGGAGTTGCCTAAACCCCAAACGCAAAATCCTAAGCCCCTACACTCCTAAGCCCTGAACAATCAATGCTTGCCTTGCAGAGTCGGAGGTGCGCCGGCAAACGACGGCAGAAACGCAGGAGTTTGGGTGGGTTCAGGGGCAGGTTGTTGGGGTTTAAGGCAAGGGTTTGCGGTTGCGGGTTTCGGGCTCAAGATTTGTGCTAATGTTTGGGGCTTTGGAATCCAGGTTTAGGGTTTATGGCAAGTTGATTATTCCTGGAGCAAAAATGCATTGCCTGTTCCATCTAAATCCCTATGGACCCTGACCCTCCTCAACCCCAAAAGAAACTATGCTCTAATCCTCCTCTTCCGCATATGGGAGTTTCCGAAAACACGGGGTACCTAATTTTGGGGTCTCTATAACAGGATCCTACTATTTAGGGTACTATATTAGGGTCCCCTATGTTCGTCCCAGGACGCCGTTGCAGAGCTCAGCCGCGTGGCGGACGAGGGCCTTGCCGGCCTTGCAACGGTACGCGCCCTGGGCGCCGAGGCGCCGCGGGTCGCCAAAAACCTACAAAAACTAGGATGCCCAGTAGTACCCTTATTCCCTTTTTGTAGTCCTAGGTTCCTTATACAGTTACCCAATACCAAAAGAGAGGCCTTTTTATTCTTAGGTTACTGGGTAGTTATCCTAGAAAATCCCTCAACCCTTCAAGGTCCTACCTTTTTCGGGTTCTGTTAAAAGCTCTATAAGGGTTCCTTTCAGGGGTCTATAGGTCTCAAGACTCAAAACTCTACCAATTTTTTGGGGGTGTGGGGCAGGCTTAGGGTTGAGGGGTTTCGGGTTGTAGGGTTCAGGGTTCAGCCCATTAAAGGCCCTACCTTTCCCAGGGTTCCCTTTTTATGATTTCCCTATGGTTTCACTCCACTTTTCAGGGCTTTCGTAAACCCAAAGTATTTAGGTAAACCCTACACCCCCACAACCCTAAACCCTAAACCGTAGGTATATAAGATAATGGCCCGACGCCTCAAAAAGGCGATTATTCTACATACCTTTGGGGTCCAGGAAGAAGCTACCACCCGGGGTGGTTGTGAAAATTCTGGTCCCTCTTCGGGTCCTTATTACAATACGGCACCTAATATTTAGGGGACCCCAAAAGTGGCCATAATTTTGACAACTACGCAGTAGTTAGGTGAAGAAGCTATCTGACAGGACACTCATCGGCGCCTCTTCTCAGAGCAGAACGACAGGATCCTGTCCATCCAGCAGCGAAACAGCAGGAGACTCATTCCTCCAAGCACGGAGTTTGCCAAAAAATCGATAACTCATTTAGGGGGCTTTAGTTAGTTGCCTTTACTATTCTGTGGGGTTCCTTATTATGGGTATAGTATCTCATAATGTCACAGTGTGCCCTGATCTTCATTATCTGTTGTATTTGCGCAGGTACACTGTACATCATGCATATGTCTACGAATTGACAATTGTGCCTCCTCAGCGGCTAATGAACCCTAAACCCGAAGCCCTACTTATCCTCCATCAATCCCCGACCCCCAAACCCTAGACGGTGTGACAACACCAACCCTGCCCATAATCTTTAATTAATTAAGAGAAGGAGCCCCCTAAACCTGACCCTAGGCCCTAAACCCCAAACCCGAGAGTCTTGAAAAGAAGGAACCCTAGGGATCAAGATAGCCCAAAAGCCTCGTATAGTATGGTCTTTGGGCCCAGAAGCCTTAATATATGAGTCCTTAGATCCCCCAAAAGCCCGAAACCCTGAACTTATATGAGCCCTTAGATCGTCAGGGAACCTTCCCCAAAAGCCCAAAACCCTGAACTTTTCTCTGAGGCTATGCCTCTGGCCTGTTTGGCCTGGCGAGCGTTTCGCTCAGCGGCACCGGCCTCGGACTTTTGCAGAATTTTTCCCAGAGCTCCAAAGGGTTCTCTGAGAATTTTTGGTTAACTCTGAAAAACACCTATAGAGTTCTCTGAGAAGGAATATGCTTCAGGGTTTGTGTTTTGGATTTAGAGTTTGGGGTAGAAGTAGAAAGACACGGTTAAGGGTTTAGCAAAGGGTTCAGGGTTTAGGAAAGGGTGCAGGGGTTGACTAGGGTTTCAGGTTGGGAATGGCAGTAGACTTGACATTATGTGCTTGTTCGTGCTCTTCGAAGACTGTGACTAGGGGTCTGGGTTCGTATTTTTTGACCCGAGACTGCAGCATCCCTAAACCCCCAGACCCCAAACCCTGAACCCTACGCCCGACCGAGGAAGGCCCAGAAGAAAAAGATGGTAGGAGAAGCCAACGGAATAAACTCACCATGGGACTCCTCTCGAAAATCTAAGACCCAAAACTCCTGGACGCTAATACTAATGAACCCTAAAAGCCTAAACTCGAAACCCTAAACCCTGGCACGAGAAGGCATCTCCAGAGCGATGACTCTTGTTGTGGGTGGCTCTCTGGTGCTCTCCCCGCGTGATCGGTGCCTTGGCGTTTCCTGGATCAAAACCCCTAATGTGGGGGCCTTAATACATAGAATGGCATAGAAATTATCTCCCAAGACCCTATTCTAATTATTAAGGGTAAATACTCCTTGCTTTCCACGTGGGCCTGCGAAGGTCGACCCGGCTAGCCGAGACTCCGGACGTTTTGACACAACAAGGAACGAAAAACAGATCGTAGGGCTCCTTTAAAGGAACCCTGAAAGGAACCCTTAAGGGTAGTACGGGGTCTCGTTTTCTATAATAGAGCTCAGTTGAAGCCATAAGCCCTGTGGGTCTGATGACCTACTCTCAGCACATCCTTGGCAGATAAGGCTGAATGGGGAGATCCTGACGTGTCTTGGCAGATACAGCAGGAGCACAGCTGAAACATGTCTGCACGGTTCCTGCAAGATCGGGCCAGAAGAAGTTGCGGGAGCCTCTCCACAGTTGGTGATAGTCCATATTAGCTATGCAACCTGGACAGCGTCGTCAGGCAGTTCCTGCTCTACCTCGACATGGTCGTGCGAGGCTGCGGCATTCTTGACACTGCCCTCGCCTGCTTAGAGTTAGGGCAGGTAGGGGCTCTTGCTAAGGGTCGTCCAGGATTTCATACTTAGAGTTAGGGGTTCTTGCTAGGCTAAGGGCTGTCAAGGATGTCTTAGTTGCAGATTTTCGCAGAGCTTACTGGGGTGTTCGCCGTGGTTTTTGGGGGGCGTTACAGGGCATGTACCGGGTGTGATAAGGGTGCTCTGAGGATTTTGTTGGCTGTCGAGGATTTGCAAAGCATTTCTAGAGCCCAAACCCGGGAAACAAAGAAAGCCAAGCAAAAACAAAATGCCTAAACCCTAAACCCCTAGACCCTAAACTTTAAACCGCCACTTCGAGAATTGCCCGAAACCTTGACTGCGCACCAGGCAAAACGGTGTTTTAGGGTTTAGGGTTTAGGCTCCAGGGCTCGCTATAAACCTAAACCTAAGTTGTCGAGCCCAGGTAGGAGATTTTGAGAGCCCATAGCCCTCCACACAGTTTCGAAAACCGCCGGCAACAGCGGCATCAATTTGGGCCCTGGGAACAGTTGCAGCACCAAGCACCAACAGGCCTAGTACACGCCTTGTAAACAGCCTAATGCTTCAAAGACCGGAAAGCCCATACCCGTTTATCTTACATCGGCCCCCTCCAACAAAGAAAACCGCTCTCAAACCCAACCCCGCTGTGCCTAGGAACCTACAGTACCCCCTTTCAACAAGAACATAGAAAAGCCAAAAGACACAAGACAACAAGAACAACATGAGCAGACAAGCATCAGCACCACGTGGATGAACATGTTTGTACATATATATATGTATATGTTTATTTATGTATATTCATTATTATTACTATTCTTATTATATATATACACATGTAACCGTGATAAACATAGGTGCATACGTACACACATGCAAGAACAAGGAGTTGTCAATGCTGATCTCGCCAGGTGCACAGGACCTGGGCGAGGCGGGCAAAGGGCTGCGAAGAGACAGAAACAAGCCCAAGCTTTTCCTAGCTGTTGCAGTAGAAGGCAGAAAGTTGGAACATCCTTATCATCATGCCGTTCAGGTAAAAGTATAAGGAATCTCAACACTTATCATCCTAAATCCATGTTCCAACTTTCTGGGGTTCACTGTATAACTCTGTCAAACTAACGATGGTATGTAAGTTGGATGCTGTTCTGACACAGTAAGTAATACGGTCAGCAAGGTGTTCTTCGGATTGTTGTGGCTGTAATCGGGGCTACCCACTGGGCTAGAGCCTCTAAGATTATCCGAAGCACTCCAGACCCAGCAAAAGACCTATGAATTCGTGTGAAGTTCCATACGGCCACAAAACCTGACTAAGCAGACCCTTAACTTCTAAACCCCGGTTTCCTGGACAGAAAAGCTGAACCCTACAGACCCTCATGCCCAGAAGGTAGCCCTACATCCTGAACCCTAATATTGTCAAAAAGCCTTTAACCCTAAACCAAAAAGAACAAAACCCCATAAAGTCTAAACCAAAAAACCCTAAACCCCTAAACCGTGAATCCTGACCCTAAAAGCCCTCAACCCTAAAACCTTACACCGCCAGGGGTTTGCAGCCAGTGCACAGGACTGGTCGACTGCTATGGAAGCCCTGGGAGCATCAGAGGCCAGAGTGGTGGCTTTAGGGTTTAGGGCTTAGGGTTTTGGGTGTAGGGTGGAGGGTTTAGGTTTAGGGTTTAGGGTGTAGTAGAAGAAGAAGTAGAAGAAGTAGTAGCAACAGAACTAGCAAATAGTACTAGTACTGGTACTAGAACTCGCACTAGTACTAGTGGTATAGTAGTATTGTTGCTACTGCTGTAGTCTGTAGGGTCAGGGTTTGTGGATTGAGGGTTTCGGGCTTAAGGGTTCAGGGTTGCGAGTTTCCAAACAAACCCTGCATCCCCCATTCAAACTGCTAGCGAAGACGCAGGAAACCTTTCGAAATCGTGAAAAGCCTTCTCAACCTTAGGAAAACAAACCCTCTATCCTATATCCTAAGTCTTTAATCCCCAACTCTATAGCTCCCAAAGCCCTAACTCCGATATCCCCAAACCCTAAATCCTAAACCCTAAATCCTAAACCCTAAACCCCAAACCCCAAACCCTAAACCCCAAACCCCAAACCCTAAATCCCAAAACCCTAACTCCGAAATCCCTGAACCCTAAATCTCTTGCCTTTTCTGCAGGCGGTGCTTCGCAGCCTCAGCGCGAGTCGAAGGCGAACGCAGCATGGGAGGAAGCTCGAGCTCCCTGGCAAAATTATCTAAGGTCAGACTAGGTAGGGCTTTGATAAATTTTCACGTTTTGGGCTGAAGAGGATCTTATTTGTTAAATGTTTTCAAAGGCTTTAAACGCACCACCTAGTTCCTTAGCCTCTTTAAGGGGCCTTCTACTGGGTATGTATATATATATATATATATATATATATATAAGGATCCCAGGGATACTAGGGGCCCATGGTTTCATCCCTGGCAAAATTAGCCCCGGGTTGGGGTTTGGTGGATAGGTTGTGGGGTTATTGATAGTAGCTTCGTCCGAGCAACATTATAATTTAGGTTCTTTTACCCTGTAGGTTTCTTTGTCCTGAGGGCTCTCCGGGATTCTGAGGTTTCCCCAAAGTTTTGGCGTGTTTCATCTTATGGGTTTCTGATTATCACCAGCCCCTCGCGCGCCAACAAATCCCAGTGCGTGTGTGGGCTCGCCAGGGAGCAGCAGCGGCACTAAACCCTAACCTCCGCACAAGGAGCTTAATTTAAGCTACCAGAGCAAGGAAGCCACATTTGATACACCAGATCCCTATTACGGTAGCTTAGACCAAGCTCCTCACGAGATGCCAACAGCCAGATCACCATCACCGACACCGATCAAACCACCTACGTTCCAACGGTTCATCGTATCCCGACCCTGCAGTTGGTTTAAGTCTACCACAGTGGAGATGCATTCTTTTCAGTCAGTTCTTCCACTACTTCGTGTTTGTTTTGCTGTTCTTACTTGCCGCCGTGCCGCCTGGATGATAGCATTTAATAGTCACTACTCCTACCCTAAGGCTCAAAATGGCCCAAAAGCCTTATGTAATATGGTCTTCAGTCCCAAAAGCCTTAAAATCTGAGTCCTTAGAGCCTTACTCCTAACGCTTATTGGAGTTCAAGCATCCCACGCTTTGCGAGTTAGAAGGCGCTAGAGTGCAGAACCCAGAAAGTCGGAACATGGATTTAGGATTTAGGGTTTAGGGTTTAGGATTTAGGATGGTTAGTGCGGGGATCCCCTACCTAGACCCCCCAACTACTCTCTAATATACCTCCAATACCAGGGCCATAAGGGCTCCATTAAAGGGCCATTGGGGGGTCCTGGCATATACTTTACCTTTAAGGCCATGAGAAGCTTGATGTTCCAGCTTTCTGGCTTCTACTGTACTCTCTGAGCGCGGAGAGCCCAAGGTCTGTGTCTGGCGCCCCTCAGACGCAATTTGGAGCATCGCGGTCACCTGCACACTTCAGAACTGGGCCTTCTTCTTCTGGTTGGCTCTTAGGACTTTAACTTTTTGGGTGTCTATATGAACTGTAATCATGAAGGAGGCGAAAAGTTCAACGTCCAGGAGGGGTTCCGAAGTCGGCCAAGAGAACCCCCCGCAACATCCTTATCCAACCAACAACCGCTTCATACGAATCTGAAACAACACATTGTGTGTGGCAACCTAAGTACACAACTGCCACAACCCCTAATAACCCTTCGACGACGAGGCATCAGCATCCTTACAAACAACAAAGTGCTGTTCTCATGTCCGTAAACCCTGAACCTAAACTCTAAACTCCAAAACCTCAAACCCTGAACGCCTAACGCCAAACGCCGAAACCCTAAAAGCAAACCCTAGATGCTACTCGCCTAAACCCTTAAACCCCAAACCCCCAACCCCCCTAACCCTGAACCCATAAAGCTAAACTCTGAACCCCAAACCCCAAACACTAAACCAAACCCTGAACCTTAAATCAACGCCGGACCCTTAAAGGAACCCTATTAAGGCCGAAACACTAGAGCCCTCATAGAACCCTTATAGGAACTCGACAGGAGCCCTTCAAGGAACCCAACATCAACCCGAGAGAGTGAAGCCTTTCGAGACTCCGAAATCCCTTACTTCAGGAATATTCCTTAAATCATATTAGGGATCCTACTATAGTTTAAGGCATATTCCCTAATCTTACCTTCGGTTAGTAGGGAATGGAAGAACGGCAGCAATAGTGGTTATACTTGTACCCCATTCCTCCATTCCCTACTAACCAAAGGTAAGAACAACCCGGTAATCCCTACTGTTAGGATCGTATCGTATACTCCAAAACAGCATACTCCCTCTTGAGGCACATTCCTCCTTTAAAGGTAAGTAACTGAGGGTTCCCTAATTTGGTATATTGGCATCCCCTCTTCCCTATATAGATCCCTTATAGATCCCTTAAAGGAATTCCCTAGTTGAGGAGTAGGGGAGTCTCGAGTTATAGGATGATTAACAATATTATAGTCCCCTTATAGATCCCATATAGTAACCCTTATAGACCCCCTGAAAGGGAACCCTACCGAAGGAGTATGGGAGTCTCTGGCCCCTCAGGAGGTGCGCTTCGAGCAGGTGACCTTTGCCTATCCTGGAAGGCCGGAGAGGCAAGTCCTCAAGGCGGGTTTGCACCGGTTTCAGGGGGGTTGAGGGTTTAGGGCTTCAAGGCTTCATATTCATGGTTTAGGATTTAGAGTTTAAGTTTTAGGGGGGTTTAGGGGGGTTTAGGGTTTAGAATTGGGGGTTTAGGGTTTAGAGTTGAGGGTTTAGGGTCCATTTACGATTTGAAGTCCTCGAGGCACCCTTGAACGGGTTTCGGGTTTAGGGCTTCAAGGCTTTAGGTTCATGGTTTAGGATTTAGAGTTTAGGGTTTAGGGTTTCGGAGGCTTAGGTTTCGGGTTCAGGGTTCATGGTTTAGGATTTGAACTTAGGGTTCAGGGTTTAGGGTATAGGGTTTCAAGTTAAAGATACGGGTTTAGGGTTTAAGGTTTTGCTTCTTCGGTTTGGGCCAGGGGTCTAGGGTACGGGTCATCAGGACTGAAACTTAAGGTTCCTGTTCCACCTATATATAGTATCCATTGTAGTTCCTTTTTGGGGTTACCTTATAGGGTCTTTAGCATATATTTGGTTAAACCAGAAAAAGGAACTACAATGGAGACTATAGGTAGGGTGTAGGGTTCACGGTTTAGGATTTAGGGCTCAGGGTTTGGGTATGGACGTTCAGGGTTCGGAGTAGTAAGTTGAAAAATGAAACCTAGGCCCCTTTACTAAACCATACCCTACTTAAAATTGCGCTGGCAGACCCCTTGACCCTTGCGGATTGTATCTTGATTACTTTCCAGCAAGTTGTATAGCTCGAGATAAACCCTCAACACCTGAACTCCTGAACCTTAAACCCCCAGACCCTCATACAATCTTATAGTTCCCTTTTTCAGGGAACCCTTATACCCCTGTAGTTCCTTTAGAAGGAAACCTTAAGACCTTAAACTCCTAAACTAGGGCCCCAAAAAAGCACATAAGCAACACATAGGATAGGGATGTCCCATAGAAGCCCCCTTATAACGAAGCCCGAAAAGGTAGGAATATCCCCACAAAATGCTTATGCTTATGTGCCTTTTTGGGTCCCTATAAACGGCCCAAGTGTCGGCCAGGAGGTGTCAATCCACTGCCGCGCAGGCGCGCCGAGGGCTGCGGGAGCTTGGGAGTCCACAGGCTATTCTACTATTTGCTTAAGAAACCCCCAAAAAACAAAAATAATAATCCCTATATTCCACCCATAAGGAATATATATATATATATATGTATTTTTTGGGGGTTCTTAAGAAAATAGTAGTATTTTTTTACACTGACCCAAAGGGTCCAAGTCTAGGACCCAGAGTAGGCCCTTATTCCCCTTTTTAGGGTTCAGGTTCCCTTATAAGCCCCTTCAAACCAAAAAGGGCATCCTTTTTATGCCTGGGTTACTCTTGGGTCTAGAAGTAATAGTAGAGTATATACTTTTGGGGCCCAAATACCTACTAAGTACTTACTATAATGGTACTTGGGCCCTTTGGGTGAGTTTACTTGCTATTTAAGGTTTATGAGGTTGGATGAGGCTTTTCATACGGCTGTTAAACGGTGTTATCAGGTGTTGTAAGGGTTTATAAGGTTTCAGAAAGGTTTCGAAGAGTTAAAAGAACCTCTGATGCAGGAGCATGAAAACTTCAACTTTGCAGTCGAAGACCTTCTATCCATGCTTGGCGCATTTGACCTACTGACTGAGTCCACTGCTCTTCCAGCCCGTATATATCCCCGTAAGCCCCTGGCTTTCGTCATAAAGCCAAACAGCACCCCATGAAGCACTCCAGAGCGCTTGTCGACATGTGACACACTGGGAGGTTCCGAAAATAGGGGGCCCTAGTATAGTACCCTAAATAACAGGATCCTTATTACAAGGACCCCCAAATAGGGTACCCCTATTTTTTGGAAATTCCCAACTCATTCTGAAAACTTCCCAAAAGCTTTAATACAAAGTCACTAGAAAGCCCTCCAGGCCTCATCTAAATCCTTGGGAAAACCGTGTAAAGACCTTGACAAAGCCACCCTAAATCCTAAACCCTAACCCCTAAACCCTAACCCCTAAAACCTAAACCCTAATTTCTAAACCCTAAACCCCAAGGCGTAAACCCTAAAACCCTAAACCCTAAAGCCAGATGCTGATTTCTCTGAGCAGGCGAAACGACCGCCTTGGTCGGGACGAGCGGTTCGGGGAAGAAGCCCGGCCTCCTCGCGTGGGGTTAGATAGGTTTTAAGGGTTTAGGCGGTTTAGGGTTTAGGATTTAGGGTTTTTTTAGGTTTGAGGGTTTTACAGGAGGTTAGGGTTTAGGGTTTTCAGGGTTTTAGTTGTTTTTGTTGGTTGAGGGTGTTTAGGATGTTAGGGTTTAGGGGCGTTGAGGGTTTTAGGGCTTTTAGATTTTGGGCTTTAGGGCCTCTTGCGTAGGTTACATAGGGTTTTTGGGTGTGGGGTCTTTCACATCGATGCTTCTAATGGTTCTATGAGGGGTTTAGCATTTTTGAAGTGCTTTATATACATGATGTAAAAGCTTTTTCCTACAAGATTTGCTATTTTCAGGTTTATAAGACCATATACAACCCGATGAGACTCGATGATACACCCCAAGGAAGCCTTGTAATACGGCCCTCTTAAGACATTCCCCCAAACTTTTCTAAAATCGATAAAGCCTTATCACGGCTCTCTGAGGAGCTCTCTCATCAACCTCATCCAGGGCTTCTACCACGTTCAGAGCGGCCAGGTGGACCTTTGATCAACCGAACGATTCAGGGTTTAGTGTTTAAGAAAACGACAAATAAGTTGAATGCCACAAATGCTAGTAGTCATGTCTTCGGGTTTGGGGTATAGGTTGAAAGGACCATTATAACACAACCTAACAGCAGCCATAGTAAGTATGATCGTACCGCAAGTATGAGAGTAGCGATAACAGTCATCACAGCAACAGAAACAACAAGGCTTAGAACAGCAGCACTAGTGCTTCGCAAATCTAGAAGACGAGTGATCAGAAAGCTCGATACATCAGCATATCATATATAATCTATCGTGGCGGCAGCTGTGCGTTTCTTTGCAGGTGCTGGTGGACGGAGTGTCCTTGGAGGAGTTTGCAAATCCTTCGACAGTCAGACAGACCCCTAAGACAGTTGTGTAAGGGTTGGAATGCACGGCCTTCATTGATACGTCGAATCGTGTTGTAGGCGACTTTTCCTACTACTCATTCAGCCCTAAACCCTAAATCTTAGAGCGTACCTCAACCCTAAATCCTAATCCTAAAGCCTACGTGGCACCCGGCGCAGCTGAGCCTCTCAAGTGGCAGGACCTGGATGACGAGTGGCTGCGTGCTCAGCTGGGCATTGTCGGGCAGGACCAGCCTCGGGTTTCAGGGGGTTTACCGTTTTCTAAGATCCTCAATACGCAACCTTTAAACTTTTTGGGTTCTTATAGTTGAGTAGGAATCGGAAAGTTTAACCTTTTTTTTCTGTGGTTTATTGGGGGAGTAATTAAGTTTTAGAGGGACGTCGGAAGAGGTCTGATTGTTCGTGTTTTCTTATATAGCTATGCCATTACATGACGGAAGCCTAGGTCTGCCATTGAGGCCCTTGTATTCCTAGGATGCCCAGTAGTACCCTTATTCCCTTTTGGTAGTCCTAGGTTCCTTATAAAGTTACCCAATACCAAAAAGAGAGGCCATTTTATTCTTATGTTACTGGGTATCCTAGATTCAAAGGGGAAGAGATTTGGGTTTCGTGTTGAAGGTGTGGCGTAAGGCACTCGGCAAGTCTGACTTTCAGTTTCAAACCCTACTGTTTCAAAACAACGAATACGTAGTGAGACCTCCGAAAATCTCGGTTGATTTGGGGAACCCGAACGGAAGTTTCATCGGCGCCCAGGAGCCCCGCTTTTTCCGGGGCTCAGTGGCCGAGAACCTCGCTTGGGGATTGGGCGCAGTTTCGAGGGACGAGCTGACGGAGGCAGGGTTAGACTGCTACTGCTACTGCCACTGCTACTGCTACTGCTACTCCTACTACTACTACTACTACCACTACCACTACCACTACTACTACTACTACTACTACTACTACTACTACCACCACTACTACTACTACTACTACTACTACTACTACTACTACTACTACTACTACCAGTACCACTACTACTACTACTACTACTACTACTACTACTACTACTACTACTACTACTACTACTACTACTACTACCAGTACCACTACCACTACTACTACTACTACTACTACTACTACTACTACTACTACTACTACTACTACTACTACTACTACTACTACTACTACTACTACTACTACTACCTACTACTACTACTACTACTACTACTACTACTACTACTACTACTACTACTACTACTACTACTAGTACTACTACCACTACTACTACTACTACTACTACCACCACTACTACTACTACTGCTACTACTACTACTACTACTACTACTACTACTACTACTGGGCTTTGGAGTACCTTCTTCGTAATACTTTTTCGGGACATGGTATTTAAAGGGAACCAATCATGAAAGAAAAGTCTCTACTTTTTCCCCCTGGCTACTTCAAAGTCCAGACTACTACTTCTACTACCCACTCGTGCTGCTGGCTGTTCTGTTTGGCCCACTGCCGCCCTAAAGGTTGCCCGGACAGCGCATTGCCACGACTTCATCAGCAGTCTCTCGGCGAAGAAGTAACACGAAACATCCGAATCAGCACAGCTCGTCCGCTGAGGCCTACCTCAGGGCTACGATACGGAGATCGCTGATGGTAAGCTGCTGTCAGGAGGCTGTGTTGCCTGAAGATGCCAGAGCCATGCCAACCCCAAATGCGGCAGCTGTAACTCCAGTTTGGCAGGTGAGCTGATCCTAACATCCTCTGTGTGTGTTGTGTAGACAAAGGCTCATAAAAAAAAACCAGCAAGATCACCCTGTAGTCTCCATTGTAGTCCCCTTTTTTTGGTTTAACCAATTATAGATTAAGGATCGTATAAGGTAACCCAAAAAAGGAACACCAATGGAGACTATAGGACTGTAATCTGCTTTCCCCAAACGCTAAACCCTAAACCCTAAACCGACTGTAGTCTGCTTTGAGCAGAGGCTGCCAGATCTCTAGCTTGTTACATCTGCAGGTCAGCGCCAGCGCCTGGCTATCGCCCGAGCGCTGCTACGCGATCCACCCGTCTTGATACTTGATGAGCTTCTTGGTCAAGACCGTCATTTGTTCATATATGGGGGTTTCCGAAAATCGGGGACCCTAATATAGTACCCTAAATAGTAGGATCCTTATAGAGCTTCTTGGTCAAGACCGGTCTTAGGTTTCATAGATCGCGCTAGTAGTCGATATAGACCTAAGCCCTAAACACCTGAATTCCTGAACCATATAAACCCTAGGTCGCCAGACAGTCTCTCAACATCGAAGTGCTAAGTCTCCAGTTTAATTAGGGTTCACGACTTGGCGTGCCATATGTGCGGAAAGAGCGGAGAAGAGAAGAGGAAGGTGGTCAATGCCAGTATGAATGCCAGCAGGCGTAGCACTACCACGAAGCGTCGTAGGGAAAGTGGTGCCAGTAATGCTTGCTCACCAGACGCCCAATCTTACTTGACAGTAGCATGCGTGATGCTGTGGGTTACTAGGAATAGTAACAACCAGCAGCAACTGCCGCAAACCAAGACTGCATGAGGCCTTAAAGCGCCAAGCCAAAGCCCCTAAACCCCTTAGGCCCCCCCTAGACCCTAAACCCTAAACCCCTTAGACCCTAAACCCTAAACCCCTTAGACCCTAAACCCTAACCCCTAAACCCCCTAAACCCCTTAGACCTTAAAAACCCTAGAGGCCGACCTCTGCGCTTGATCCGTCGACAAGCAGGTGGGGATTGCCGGGTTGCGGATCGAAAATGTCCTATGCTACTGTTAATCCGCTAAACCGTAGATCCCTTGTAGATCGATCCCTGAAAGGATCCCTTGTAGATCCCTTTAAAGGAAGCCTAGAAACCTTCAGTCTTAAAGGCATCTTCCGTAATTAAGGAATAATGTTGATGATATAAATCCTGCATTGCCTTAAGGACCCTACACTATGGGAATTATGGTATATTCCTTATTATGGGTAATGCAGGATTTATATCATCAACCGTAGGACGCAGAGTAGGCCCTTATGACCTTTTTGTAGGGTTTCAGGTTCTCTTAGAAGCTCCTTTACACCAAAAAGGGCACCTTGTTATTCCTAGGTTGCTCTCGGGTCTAGTATGTCCTGTGTACTGTTATGGGCTCATGGTTTAGGGTTTATAGTTCTTAGGGTTTAGGGTTAGGCTTTAGGGTTTAGGGACAACTTCCCTAAATCGTACGTTCATAGATCGCAATACAGAAACCCTTCATTTTACTATATAAAAGGGTTGTCAAACTTATGATCCCTTTTTGGGTACCCTAAACGTTAGGTGCCGTATTTTAATGAGGCCCTAATTTTGACAACCACCCATAAAGATACAAAGGACCCTTTCGGGAGACATTTTCTTGAGCTTCTGTGGGGCTGCTATGGCTCTGCTGGGCTGGTATAAACCTCAAACCCTCAACCTGAATTTTAATCTTTACCTATAGTTTCCACTTTTGGGGGTTACCTTATAGGATCCTTAATATATGATTGGTTAAACCAACAATGGAGACTAGAGGTAGGTCGCAATTTCCTAAGCTATCTGGTTCTCTGGGTCTGGTCTCATTCTCCGGGCATTGAGACCCCTAAGGGTCCATGTACCCAAACAGTATATACATGGGCCCCAATGTACCTATATAGGGACTACTTTAAGGCCAATGTATATATTATTTAGGCACATGGGCCCGTAAAAAAACCTGCAATTCGATCTCCGAAGCCTAGTTAAAACAGGCCCTAGACCCGAAACCCTACACTCTATGAAACTTTGAACCTCATAAACCCTAAAGGCCTTAAACTCTATAAACCCGAAAGGCCCTCAACCCTAAACACTAAATGCTACACCCTAAATCCTAAACGCTATAAACCTTAAGCCCTAAACCCCTAAACCCTCAATCCGAGACACTGTAACAAACCTAAATCCTAAACACTATAAACCTTAAGCCCCAAACCTTAAACCCTAAACCCTGCAAATCTTAAGCCCTAAACCCTGGAGTTGCAAGGCAGGTCTCCATGGCGCTCCGCGAGGCGCGGGTCTGTCTTTAAGGGAGTGAAGGGAGGGTTCCCTCATCAAACACCCCCTTAAAGGGATCTATGGGGTTTAGGGTTCAGGGTCTACTTGGAGGCCCAGAGGACTTAGTTTGGGGTTCCATGTAAGGGTACTATAAGGTTCTATAATAGGGCCCCTTTCAGGATACTATAGGGTTCTAAGGGTCTTACTTAGAGGCCCAGAGGACTTAGTAAGTAGGTCATAAGTAGGGTTTCATTTGGGGTAACTCCATTCAGGGTACTTAAAACCCTACTTATAACCTACTTACTAAGTCCCCTGGGCCACTAAGTAGAACCCTAATCCCCCTTATAGAACCCTTATAGATCCCTTTTAAAGGAGCCCTTTAAGGAGCCACACTACTTACTGTGTCCCCTTGGGCCACTAAGTATAGGTGCCCCAGTAAGGCTCCTGAGTCTTCAAGCAGTCCGGGCTCAGTCGCAGGCGCAGTGGTCGAAACGTCTGGGAAGGCGGAGGACGGTAATAGTCGCTTGGCTACACGAGGAAGGGCATCTAGCACAGATTTTGCGAGGTTTCAAAAAGTACCAAAGGCCATATTGTATTGAAGGGTTCCACATTCACCATATAAAGATTTTCGGGTTTTAGCATGTGCACTGAGCTGTTGGAAGTACTCAATCACCGCAAACCCAGAACCCCAAAAACATCGAACCCCAAATCCTGAACACCAAGTGGGAGTTTCCAAAAATAGGGGCCCCTAATATGGTACCCTAACTAGTAGGGTCCTTATTATAGCGGACCCCTATTATCGCAAACTCCCAAGTCCAAAGCACGGCAACCCGGGGTTTTCGGGCTTAGGGTCGGGCTCTGTGGGTGTTGTGTTGAGGGTTCTGGGGTCTATAAGTATAGATACCTCTTAGGTAGTGCCCCCATACAGTAAGTGTCTATACTAGGGCTCTATTAAGGTCCAAGTATATCTATATTATGAACATTATTCGACAAGTGCTGAGCTGGGGCCGTACCCAAGATACCTTACTTGTAACCCTAAGATACTATGGCCCATGATCCTTTAAGTACGCCTTGACCCCCTTATGGTGACTTTCGTAGATTTCTTTAGGGGAAACCCTTGAAGGAACCCGAGATCCTTCAAGTAAACCTTGGATACTGCCCCCACTCAGTAACAGTTGGATAATATTCATAATATAGATATACTAGGCCCTTTATAGTAGCCCTATCATAGACTGTTAGTGTATGGGGGCAGTATCCAACCTAGAGTATCTAAGCTTGCTGTGGTGATTGCAGGTCATCGCCCATCGTCTCTCCACGGTCAAGGACACCCGTAGTGGAGGAAGGAAGAGACTATGAGGGGGCCCTGAATGGTACGGTTGATGATATAAATCCTGCGTTACCCATAGTAAGGAAGATACCATAGTTCCCATAGTGTAGGGTCCTTAAGGTAATGCAGGATTTATACCATCAGCAGTAGTAGGGTGTTCCTATTTTCGGAATCCTTTGACACCCCAGTCCACCTGCTTAAGTTTTTTTGGGGCATTGGTCGGCGGATGTCTGAAGCTCTGGGGTTGATGAGGGGTCCAAGCGGGTGCTTGTTTTTCCGACTTCCGGTGTAGAATGTGGAGTTTGTTGGTTAGAGTTTCCACTCACGTGGAGAGGATGCCGAACAGATCGTGGTGCTCGAGAACGGCGTGGTCGCTGAAAAGGGCACGCACGAGGCACCGACCTCGCACAGAACCTAACCCTTTGGGGCCTAAACAGTTAAGGCTTCCTTAAAAGGGTACTATAAGGGTTTCTTTAAGGGATCTATAGGGTTTAGGGTTTGGGGGCCTGAGTAATCACACATACTATTTTGGAGGCTCCTTTTTTTTTTTACTTGTAGCCGAATATCCACCCAAACTCTATTCCAATTTTTCAGGCCCCTATATTGCACCCGCAATTTGCCGCATGGGGGGCCTCCAACTTCCCGCCCCTTAATGCCTTAAAGAGGACTCCAGAAAGTTGGAATATGGTTTCAGGGTAGGATCCCCTATAATTTACCATAAAGGGGATAGTATAATGATATTCCAACTTTCTGGCTTCTACTGTAATCTAGGGGTCGGAGAAACTGCACTCATGGAGACTTCTCTGAAAGCCCCTATTGTCATCGTAGATACCCCATTCAGGGCTTAGGCAACAGCTCCTTCAACGGACATCCTAGCTTGTTTTTTCTAAATCGGGGCTTCCGTTCAGCAAGATAATGTAGGATTTACGGTTTAGGGATGCTCAGGGTATAGGAGACGTCGCTATTCCAGGCTGGCCCACGTTCTCCCCCTCATGCCCCTGGCCCTGGAAAGGTATGGGGGAAACCGTATAAAGTATATTGGTCATGGCAACTTACGCTTAGTGAAGCCCTTATGAGAGCGATTCGTTACAATCTCTTATTCTCTGGACGCGAGCTTAGTAATTTTCATCCGGGAGGGCGGCAAGGTTGGTACCGTTCTATCACACTGTTCATCCTATCGTGAGGAGATATCAGTGCTGAGATGGTAAGTGCGACGTTATTCGACCCGAATTATGGGGTTTGTTGTCGAGTGGTGGAAGGTTTATGTGTGGCGCTACGTGTTAAGCTGCGAAATGTAGATTATGGTTGGGGTTAGGGCGGAGCCGGCAGGTTTCGGACAAGTTCGTCACCTTCCGAAATCCGTTTATTTTTCAGAATTTTTGCAGAAAATTTGCAAACTCGCCACCGTCTGCCAAATTTTGCCACCCCGCGGTCCGGCACACTGCCGGCGGCGGGGGGGGCGGAATTGCGGGACGGGGAGGGCCCGGGCGCGCCGGGGGCGTCCGACCCGACTCTCCCCGACTCTCCCCGACTTCTTTGTCTAGCTTTGCTGTTGCAAGCCAGCTGTCCCCCAACTCTCCCCGACTCTCCCCGACTCCCCCGGCTGCCCCCGACTCTCCCCGACTCCCCGCCACCTCCCCACCTGTGCTCCCACGGTTTTTTTTTGTGTTTGAAGCCGATTTTTGGCGAGTTTGAAAAAATTATAGTTTTTCCAATGTTTTGCGTTTTTTGTTTTTCCGCCACAGCCAACGTTTTCGGCTCTGGCAGAATTTCGTCCATCAAAAGTTGGGCGTTTCGCGAGACTATGTTTTTATAGAGTTCATAGTCAGTGGTGTGTGAAAACCAGGCGTACAGAATTGGTGCGTAGCAACTCGGTCAGCTCCAGGTTGTACAAGTTGCTCACAGTATGCCCCCTCGTGTTCCTGGTTTGGGGTTACGTAAACTTCGGAATGTGCCGACCCCGATGAAAATTGCTACGCGAGCTCGTTTGGAAGGACCCGTAATCAGAACCCAACAACCATAACCCCTAAAGCTTAAAACCCCTCACGAGACCCGTATGAAGGTTTTATCAAAGCCTTGCCGAACACAACACCGTTCTAATGTAGGCCTTAGCAATTAGAATAGGGTTTCGGGTGTTCCTCACTATACTTATAGCATAATATCCCCTAAATCCGCATTCCAAAGACTAAAGCCCCGACATTACAACCCTTGTAAACTCAAAACACACTTAGGGTTCCTCATTATGATGATAGTATACTATCCCCTAAATCCCCTAAAGGCCCTGCATTACAACCCTTGTAAACTCAAAACACACTGCTTCAGCTCTTCCGAGGAGCTCATGGCGCGTCCCGATGGTGTGCTGTGGCGCATGGCCCCCCGGAGATATTGTTCAAGCTTTGGGGGTTTATGGTTCCAGGGTGTGGGATTCAGGTTTAAGGGCTGAGTTTAGGGCTTAAGGCTTAAGGTTTGTAGGGTTTGGGGTTAAAGATTTGGGGGTTTTTGGTTTCAGGGGGAGGGATTGAGGCTTTGGGGGCTTCTGATACTGGAGCTTACTTATTGTGTCAGGATATGCATGGTTATCGTAGTATGTTGCAACGTTTTGAGCAACTTTAAGCTTTCGGTCGTTGACAAACACTATGTGGATGTTCTGTGGGTTTCACCCCAGCAAGAGCTCAAGGAATTCTTTTCAATTGGTTAGGATAAATTCCTTGGGATATATGGGCGGTTCACGGTTTTGGGCTTTAGGGTTAATGGTCCATGGTCCCTAAACCCTAAACTTTCTTAACCCTAGACTCTAAACATTATAAACCTAAACCCTAAACCTGGCCAGGTGAATGAGCAGCAGCTGCCATCTGCATGACCGCAGTGAAGCGGGCGTAGGGTTACATGATGACGTCCCAACCCCATAGCTTCAACCCTGAACCTAAAACCTTCCTGCCCGGATCATATATATATATATATAGAGATCGGAAGTGCAAGGCCTACCAGAAGACCTCAAGACAGGTGAAGGGGGCACCTTGTATTCATCCGTATTAACCCCTGGATGCTTTTCAGCACGAAAAGTCTGAAGCCGTGAACCTTTGAATCACAGGGCAGCCTGTGGTCCCAGACCTTCCAAAATCCCTCAATTAAGGAATATGAACCTTAAATCATATTCGGGACCTTATGATAATTTAAGGTATATCTTCCTTAATTAAGGGATTTTGGAAGGTCTGGGGTAGCCGATCCAGTGTTGCTCAAAGTTTGGCAGCTCCTGGAACGTTGAATTTATTGAATATCCCTAAGGGTCCATGTACCCAAATAGTATATACATTGGGCCCAATGTACCTATATAGGGACTACTTTAAGGCCAATGTATATACTATTTAGGCACATGGACCCTTAGGGCATCTGAAAGTTCAGGGGCTCCCCCTGATCCAAAGAGATCCATTGAGCCGATATCGATTCGTCACAACAAAGGCTCCAAAGAGAGTTTCTGTTGCAATGCATCCTACGAGTCCAGCAGAAGGGCCGCATAAATAATACAGGTAGTTAGTTAACCCAGTAGTTCATGTTACCTAAAGCCCGAAGCCCCAAATCCCAGAATCGCGAACCCCGCAGCACAGAATCCTAAAAATCCTAGCCCTGCAAAACCTGTTCCATGACGCAGCAATGCAGAGCCGAAGATGGCCGACAATAAAAACCCTAAGCCCTAAGCTAAACCCCAAACCCCAACTGAGTGGTTGTCAAAATTATGGTCGTTTTCTGGGTCCTCATTATTATAATACGGCACCTCATATTTGGGGTACCCAAAAAGGGGCCATATTTTTGACAACTACCCAAGTAGGTCTTCCAGAAGACCCTTCGTCCCTTTTTGTAGTCTGAGGGTCCTCGTAAAGAATTCCCAATACCGAAAAGGGTGTCCTTTTTGGAAAAGTATACTATGTTGTTATAATAGGGACCCCAAAAACCCTGTTAGAATTATTAAGGCCCCTAATCTTGAACCCTGTTATAGATCCCTGATAGACCCGCTTTACAGATCCCTTCAAAGGAACCTTCTTCTCATTATTAAGGCCCCTACATTAGCCAGCCCCCCCCCCCCTTTTTGCCAACCCCTAAACCCTAGACCGAAAGGGGGGTCCTTTCTATTCCTAGGTTGTTGGGGCCTAGCCAACCCCCTGTCTTTTGCCAACGAGAACTTAGTAGCTGAGTAGGTAACCTTAAACCTTTTGGGGTTTGTATAATCCTACCATAATCGAAAAATATTTGGTGGCGTACTGTAATAGGGACCCCAAAAAGGACCATAATGACTTTTTTTGCCTAAGTCTAGGATACTCAGCCCCTAAGAGAAGCAGCAGCTCCTCGCAGGAGCAGCGATCGGGAGCAGCTGCTCCAACGAGAGCTACAGGAAGCCTTCCGAACTCCCTTGAAAGGTTTCCTTTAAAGGGAAACCTAGTCGTTTAGGATCCCTTTAAGGGCTTTATAAAGCTCCCTTGAAAGGGTGCCTTTAAGGGATCTTTCAGGGTTCGTTGGAGTGGTCTTTAAGGGTTTCTTTAAGGCTTTCAGCAGTCCTTAAGTGTTTTTAAGGGTTCCTTTACAATGAAGCGCAGGGGTTAGGACCCCTCTAAAGAATCTATAAAGGTCCCTCAAGGGCTTCCTTAAGGGTTCCTCAAAAGGGATCTATAGGGAGGGTTGAGGGTTTTGAGATTTAGGGTTTAGGGCCGAGTTTAGGGTGTGGCTACCATGACCTTCTGCGTTAGATCTCCTCGAAGGGTTTCTGTAAGAGTTTGGGGTTTAGGGTGTAGGCTGTTTTAGTTTACGGTTTACCCTGCACTCCTCAACACGAAAAAATGTGTGAGTTTAAAGGTTCGTTTGGGAGGGTTGTGGAATTTAGGGCTGAGTGTATTGGGGGGTTTGAGAGTTTTCAGGGGTGTTGGCCCAGCCGGTGCGGCGCATGCCTTAGTCCTCGAGGTGGCGATGAATGTTTCATGGCTGCGTAGGCTGTATACGGCTCCTTGCAGTGCTTTAGGCCTGTGCAGGCTCAGGCGATCCAGTTTGCGAGGCTTTGGTTGTGGTCAAAGTCAAGCATGCTTACCAATAGATTAGCTTTGAAACAGGACCTCACTTTTACTCATAATCTACTTGGCAACTCCAATCATGCTTTTGCCCTTATAACAGAGCCAATACATGCCCCTGACACAACCCCATATACCTCTGCAACACAAAAACGACAAACCTGAAATACTACATGAGCCCATATGATGGAGGATGTTGCCTCCTTAAAAGACTTTGGAAAACACGTTTACCTAGACACTCCAAAGTAGGCAAAATAATGGCCCAACGCCTGTTAGAGGCTATTATTCTACATACCTTTGGGGTCGAGGTAGGCTCCATTACCCGGAGGGTCCATATATATACTCCCAACTTCCCTAAATCATAATAGTAAACCCTACCATAGAAACCCTACATTCTACTATAGAGGTACTTTGGACCCTTCCCTGGGCATCAAAACAGCCCAAAAGCCGTATATGATATGGTCTTTGGGCCCAAAAGCCTTAATATATGAGTCCTTAGATGCCTAGGGCTTTGGGACTACCATCATGGAATTAGCTCCCAGAAGACCATCCTCCAGTTGGGGGGTCTAAGGAAGACTTGAGCCTTCTGGGTAGTTGTCAAAATTAGGTTCCCTTCTTGGGCACCCTAAATTATAGGAGGGACCCAAAAAGGGACCATAGTTTGACAACCACCCCTAAACCCTAAACCCTCCTATAATTTATAGGAGGGACCCAAAAAAGTACCATAAATTTGACAACCACCCTTACGAAAGAAGGAGCTTCGAGAGCAGCTGGCCTTGCAGATGGAGAAGAACCAGTCTTTGACGCACACTCTGGAGGCAACGTCGTCTCAAAGGGCCCCCCCTGAGGTTGGGATGAAGGTGAGGGTTTAGGGTTCAGGGTTTAGGGTTTAGGGGGGGTGATCCCAAAATCAGAGTCCTTATATATGTCATCCTTATCCTACCTGCCTTCACCGCACTTTTTGAGGCCTTCAATGTTCCCGAGAGCAGTCCAGGGTTTCCATGTTTGGAAGCTCAGAGGTTATCATACCAGGACCCCCCAATGGCCCTTTAATGGAGCCCTTATGGCCCTTAATAGTGGGTACTTGGGGTATATTAGGGGGTAGTTGGGGGGTCTAGGTAGGGGCCTTAATAATTACCAATTGCAATACTATTTTGTGGCTTCCTTGTTTTTTTAGTATACTGGCCCGAAACCCTTTTCTAATTATCGCGGCACCTACTATGGAACCCTACTATAGATCCCTTATAGACCCCTTTAAGGAACCCGTTAAAGGAGCCCTATTCCAATCAGTAAGGCCCCTATGCTTCGGCTTTAGTGTTTCCACGGTTTTGGGTTTAGGGCTCAAGCAGACAAGGGTGCGAGAAGGGCTTAGGGTTTAGGGGTTTAGGGTTTAGGGGTTTCGGGCGTAGGGTTTGGGAAGCTTCCGAAAGTCTATGCTAAGGATATGGGAGTTTCTGACAATTAGGGGTACCTTGTTTGGGGTCCTTATCATCAGGATCCTACTATTTCGGAGAATTACTAGATTAAGGTCCCCTGTTTGCGGATGGGTATTATTACACAAAAGTTATAACAAGGAACTCCCAGTGGTGATTACTTACAACCATAGTGCCAAGCATATCTTTCACAGTGTGGATCATGGGGCGCTACCTCCGCAAGGGCCTTTGGGCCATCTGGGGCTTCGGTTTTTTGTCATATATGAACGAAATACGGAAAGCATAAACTACTTGCAATATGTTATATATATATATATATATATGTATACAGATATATGTATACACAAACATGAATACATACATGTACATCTACCATATACATATACATATACACAGACATTTTCCTGTCAATACGTATATACACATACGCGCCCATATACACACATTCAAGCGGAGTTAGTGTTTACTCTTGTTCTTAGCAGTTACCCTAATGCTCCTGGACCCTCGTAGTGAGATCCTAAACCCTAGCCCCCAAAGCCCAAACCCTCGCCCACAAAGCCCCTATGCCTATTTGGAGCCTTCGGGAAAACTCTAAACCCTAAACCCAAACCCCTAAACCCTAACCCCTAAACCCTAAACCCCTTAGACCCTAAACCCTAAACCCTACGCCTATTTGGAGCCTTAGGGTATTGCTTTTCTCTCTACCAGGGTAACCCCAAGGGTCCAATTACCCACCCAATAATCATATACTCTCCAAAATCCTAGCCGCTAGTCTACATAACTACTATCCTAATCCCAAAGTACCTAATTATTGGGTCCTTTGGACTATGAGTCCTTAGATCCCTAAACCCTATAGATCCCTTTAAAGGACCCCTTATTGTTGGGTCCTTTGGACCCTTGGGGTAACTTACAGGAAGTTCCCAGTCTCGAGCCGCCGCTGCGCGTGGAGTCTGACGTAGTGAGATGGGAGTTTCCGAAAAAAGGGGACCCTAAAAAAGGGTGAATAAAGGTTCCTTTAAAGGGATCTATAAGGGTCCCTTTAAGGGTTTCTATAATGGTTTGGGGTTTAGAGTTGGGAGTTTCCGAAAATAGGGGACCCCAATATAGTAATTATCCTAAACAATAGGATCCTTATTATAAGGACCCCACAATAAGGTACCCCTATCTTCGGAAACTCCCAGCTGCCTCACACAGGTCACAGTATCCAACAATCTTGCTTGTGGTTTTATTGGTCAGGGCATTCTCTCCTTTAGCGTTTAGGGTTTAGGGTTAAGGGAATAGTCTTCAAAACACGACCCTGCGATCACAAGTGACCGCGACCTACGTCTGACCAAGTACCCAAACTGCTTGCAAGTTGCCCCCAACCCTAAACC